CACCAAACTTGACATATAGCTTCTAAAATTGGTCGAAGCCAAAATGTGGTAAGCAATTTTCTTCGTAATGAAGCCGATTATGGGAAAAAAATGAAAGGAAAAAAATCTGCTACAACGGAATCAGAGAGGCGACTAATCCTTCGAACTGCTTCGAATTCCCAGCTCTCTGCCTGTAAAATCAGGAATGAATGCGGTGTAAATGCTAGTTTGGCAACGGTAAAACGAGTTATTCGAACAGTTAAAGAGATTAAAAATAAAAAACCTCCTCTCAATGATACACGGAAGGAAGCGCTACTTCGATTTGCGCGGAATCACATGACATGGAACAAGGAGTGGAAGGCTGTGGTCTTCTCCGAAGACAAAAAGTTTAATCTCGCCGGACCGTATGGCTACAACTATTATTTCACGATATGCGCAATGAGGAATGCTTTTTGAGTCGTCATCACTCCTCTACAGGAGGCGTAATGGTTTGGGGAGCCATATCGTTTTATGGAACTTGCGAGAGGCAGTTTGTTTCCTCAAAGATGAATGCAAATGTCCCCCGACCCTGGTTGAAGCGATAAAAAAAGCCTGGTCAACTATTTCACTGAGTGAAATTGAAAAATATTACGATTCCATATCAACTCGAATGTTTGAAATAATTAAGAATAAGGGTGGTCATACCAAATATTAAATAATGCAGAAATAGTGTCTTTTATTATTTAAGTTACCAAGTGCCATGAAATATTGCTATGAATAATTTTTTTTTATAGTTTTGTCGGTCAAACCTGTTCACTTGAGCCAAAAATTATGTAGATTTTCAGTTATGCTTTTGAAAATATTATAAAAAACATATAAAAACCAAACCAAACAAAAAACTTTTGTATTTTATAAATAATTGATCGTTTTACTTAACAAAATTTATTTGGTTTAAATCCGAGTGCTCGTTATGAAGATATTATGTTCTAAGTCTAAAAAAGAAGTCAAACCTATTCAGTTGAGCGGCACTGGTTTTTTTGTCTAAACAACTTGCCCGCCAGCAAGATACTGACGTCGTCTTTATTTTCAATTTAACTCATTACATAACAACCTCTTTTAAATTTAAATGGCAACAGAAGTTATAAATTCGTTGGCAAAAACATATTGCAGCCCTATTACATTTAACAGCATGTCAGTATTTTGTTATTTGCCAACATTTAAATTTATTGACAGCTCAACTATCGTGTGGCAACTTATCGGCTAAACGCGTTTTTGGTATTTTTTCTATTTATATCGATGGTTGGCAACTCACTATTAATGAACATTTCCGCTTCCCAGGTCTTGCGCAAATGTTACGAATTCGGGAGCATCACGGGCATCTTCCAAACCGCTTGCTCATCATGGTCATCATTGTCAGAAGCGATTAAAAAAGTCTGGTCAACTAGTTCACTGAATGAAATTGAACAAGTAAGAGGTTCTAGTCGGGAGCTCCCGACTAGCGGATATATATATTATTTTAGAAGCTATATGTCAAGTTTGGTGACTCTTATTATTTACAAAATTGGCCAAGAAAACAGAATATCGATTCGATTTTTATAGATTGCTTGGAAACGGAGTAAGTTATCGATTATCGAACTCGATCTGCGCGGGCACTAGGAGCACCTACATGTAAAATTTGAAGTCTATGGCTCTTATATGTTCTGAGATACTTACCTTCATACATACATACGGACGGACGGACATGGCTAGATCGACTCGGCTATTGATGCTGATACTTTATGGGGTCGGAGATGCTTCCTTCTGCCTGTTACATACATTTGGATTTTGCACAAATACAATATACCCTTATACCCATTTTTAATGGGTTCAGGGAATAAAAAGAAGGCAAACCTATTCAGTTGAGCGGCACCAGGTTTGAAAAATATTTCTTCTATTTTTGCTTCTCTCTTTATTCCTATGGCTATTTTTCCTTCTTTCTTTTTTGTTTTGAACATTCATTTGTTTAGTCATAATATGACAAAAAAAAATGTAACGGGTTCTATGCAACGGTAAATCAGAATTTTGCATTCATCGTGAAATTTGCAAAATGTGTGGTCTATTTTTGGCTCATCTGATTAGGTTTGACAACTTTGACTTCACTTTTTGATTGACTGCGTGTTGGAAAACATCTAATTTCTTTGGTCTACTTAAATTTAAAGTAATTGCTACCATTTTTAAATATGGGTCGGGGAAAATCTTTAACCGATTTTGAAAAAGGTCAAATTAAAGGCTATATTGAATCTGGCCTAAAACCTAATGAAATAGCAAAGAAGATTGGTCGAAGCCAAAACGTGGTAAGCAATTTTCTTCGTAATGAATCCGATTACGGGAAAAAAATGAAAAGAGGAAAAAAATCTGCTACAACGGCATCAGATATGAGACTAATCCTTCGAACTGCTTCGAATTCCCACCTCTCTGCCAGTAGAATCAGGGATGAATGCGGTGTAAATGCTAGTTTGGCAACGGTCAAACGAGTTATTCGGAGTGCTAAACACTTAAAGAGATTAAAAATACAAAACTAGAGGATAAACCATTAAAATGGTTACAAGGGTATTTTGTAGTTGTGCAAAATCCAAATGTATGTAACAGCCAGTAGGAAGCGTCTCCGACCCCATAAGGTATATATTTTCTTGACCAGCATCAATAGCCGAGTCGATCTAGCCATGTCCGTCTATCTGTCCGTCCGTCCGTCCGTACGTCCGTATGTATGAACGCAAGGATATCAGAAAATATAAGAGCTATAGACTTGAAATTTTAGATGTAGGTGCTCCTAGTGCCAGCGCAGATCGAGTTTGTTTCCGATAATTGATAAATTACTCCGTTTCCAAGCAATCGATAAAAATCAATATCAATATCCTGTTTGATGGGCAATTTTGGTAAATAATAAGAGCTAGAGTCACGAAACCTGATATGTTGCTTCTAAAATATTATATATTTGTCAGGTATCTTTCATTTTATACCTATCGCCACCTTTCCGCTACCACCCCAGAGCTATAAATCAAGTTATTAACCCAACTTTTATTGCCAACCAATTTGAGCCAGATTTTATTTGATAATGACTATTTCAGTATACACAAATATTCTATGATACAATAAGATATAATGTAGAAGATTTCATAAAGATCGCTTAAGAAAAACCAAAGTTATATGCAACTGCGCAATTGAATAGAACACCTTCTTTAAGAATTTCTGTATGCATGTACAAACACACATTCATGCGCGTCTGCTTCGCATTTTAACAGCATGGTTATTGCGACTTTTTTCTGTAATACTATTGAAGTTCCTTTTTATACCCTGAACCCATTAAAAATGGGTATCCAAATGTATGTAACAGGCAGAAGGAAGCTTCTCCGACCCCATAAAATATCAGCATCAATAGCCGAGTCGATCTAGCCATGTCCGTCTGTCTGTCCGTCCGTCCGACCGTATGTATGAACGCAAGTATATCAGAACATATAAGAGCTATAGACTTCAAATTTTAGATGTAGGTGCCCTCAGTGCAGATCGAGTTTGCTTCCGATAATCGATAACTTAGTCCGATTCCATGCAATCAATAAAAATCGATATCGATATCCTGTTTTTTGGGGAATTTTGGTAAATAATAAGAGCTAGAGTCACCAAACTTGACATATAGCTTCTAAAATTGGTCGAAGCCAAAACGTGATAAACAATTTTCTTCGTAATGAAGCCGATTATGGGAAAAAAAATAGAAGGAAAAAAATCTGCTACAACGGAATCAGAGAGGCGACTAATCCTTTGAACTGCTTCGAATTCCCAGCTCTCTGCCAGTAAAATCAGGAATGAATGCGGTGTAAATGCTAGTTTGGCAACGGTAAAACGAGTTATTCGAACAGTTAAAGAGATTAAAAATAAAAAACCTCCTCTCAATGATACACGGAAGGAAGCGCTACTTCGATTTGCGCGGGATCACATGACATGCAACAAGGAGTGGAAGGCTGTGGTCTTCTCCGAAGACAAAAAGTTTAATCTCGCCGGACCGTATGGCTACAACTATTATTTCACGATATTTGCAATGAGGAATGCTTTTTGAGTCGTCATCACTCCTCTACAGGAGGCGTAATGGTTTGGGGAGCCATATCGTTTTATGGAACTTGCGAGATGCAGTTTGTTTCCTCAAAGATGAATGCAAATGTCTACAGGACTGTGCGCCGAAAGGTTTTTTCTCAGTTTTCCGAAATTTTTGGACCTATTCAATGGACGTACCAAGAAGACAAAGCCCCCATCCATACAGACCGGGTTACAAAACAGTGGATTAAGGGCCAGAATGTCAACTTGCTCGAGTGACCGCCATACTCCCCAGACATAAATATTATCGAGAACATTTGGGGACTTTTATCCAGGAGAGTGTATGAAGGGGAAGACAATTTCAGGTCTCGGCGACCCTGGTTGAAGCGATAAAAAAAGCCTGGTCGACTATTTCACTGAGTGAAATTGAAAAATATTACGATTCCATATCAACTCGAATGTTTGAAATAATTAAGAATAAGGGTGGTCATACCAAATATTAAATAATGCAGAAATAGTGTCTTTTATTATTTAAGTTACCAAGTGCCATGAAATATTGCTATGAATAATTTTTTTTATAGTTTAGTCGGTCAAACCCGTTCACTTGAGCCAAAAATTATGTAGATTTTCAGTTATGCTTTTGAAAATATAATAAAAAAAATATAAAAACCAAACCAAACAAAAAACTTTTGTATTTTATAAATAATTGATCGTTTTACTTAACAAAATTTATTTGGTTTAAATCCGAGTGCTCGTTATGAAGATATTACGTTCTAAGTCTAAAAAAGAAGTCAAACCTATTCAGTTGAGCGGCACTGGTGTTTTTGTCTTAACAACTTGCCCGCCAGCAAGATACTGACGGCGTCTTTATTTTCAATTTAACTCATTACATAGCAACTTTTTTTAAATTTAAATGGCAACAGAAGTTATAAATTTGTTGGCAAAAACATATTGCAGCCCTATCACATTTAACAGCGTGTCAGTATTTTGTTATTTGCCAACATTTAAATTTATTGACAGCTCAACTATCGTGTGGCAACTTATCGGCTAAACGCGTTTTTGGTATTTTTTCTATTTATATCGATGGTTGGCAACTCACTATTAATGAACATTTCCGCTTCCCAGGTCTGGCGCAAATGTTACGAATTCGGGAGCATCACGGGCATCTTCCAAACCGCTTGCTCATCATGGTCAGTATTGCCGTCGCGGGAACTATGTTTTTATGCCCCCTAATTTAGTAGGAGAGGCATCAATGACGACGTTTCCTGAGGCGGCTCTCGAAGGCTACGCATCACGTTCGGCCTGTATGCACGCTTTATTGGGCGGCCGCAGCTGTACGTTATTTAAACTCCATAGGATTGGATGGCCTGAATGCCACGTAGGCGATAACAGCATGCTGGATGGAGCCCACTCAGAGCTGTTGGGCCATTATATACCCCGCTTGGTTGGGCGATGCCGAAGCCGTCGCTCACCCCAGATTTAGTACATGGCTCATGGACCGTCTGGGCGTATTATCTTCTTGGTGAGTGTTTCTCTGGCGATCGCAAGAAACGCATCTTATTGGCTCCTCAGAGTTGGATAGCCTGGATAACAGGCCGGAGACGATACAGGAATGCTGGATGGAGCCCTCTCAGAGCTGCCGATCTATTATCGACTCAAAGCCGTCGCTCATTCCAAGTTAAGCACATCATCCGGCAGGCCGTCGTGGAGCACCACGTGGAAGCGTCGTGGATTGGAGCATCTGGCAGCGCCTCTCAAACGCCATATAATTTGCAGGTCAGCTGGCTCAAGCGGTCGCAAAAACGCATCATGTCGGCTTCTCAGTGTTGGATGGCCTGATTAACAGGCCAAAGGCCATACAGGATGCTGGATGGAGCCCACTACAGTGCCCAGATTCAGTAGGTGGCTCAGTAAACCGTCTGAGCGTATCGTATTCTTGGTGAGTGTTTATCTGTAACTTGCAAGCAGAGTGTTTGACTTTATGTTTCAATTTGCAGAACAACACATCAGCCTCGTAGTCTGGAAAACATCCAGTGGCGTCCCTCACACGCCACACAACCCGTGCAGGAATCGCATTAATCCACTGAAAGCGGTCGCTAATTCCAAAATGGACACATAATCCAGTAGGCCGACGTGGAGCATCTCGTCTTGGAAACGTCGTTGATTCGCACATCTGGAATTGTCTCTCACACGCAACCCCATTCTTGCAGGATTTGGAGGTCAGTGACTTTGGCAGTCGCAGAAACGGATCATGTCGGCTCCTCAACGTTGGATGGCCTGATTAACAGGCCGAAGCCGATACAGGATGCTGCATGGAGCCCACTACAGAGCCCAAATTCAATACGTGGCTCAGTAGACCGTCGTAGGCGTATCGTCTTCTTGATAAGTATGTATTTGTCCAGGAATTGCAGGTCAGCTGATGTAGGTGTAATTTTTTTCTCAGTTTTCCGAAATTTTTGGACCTATTCAATGGACGTACCAAGAAGACAAAGCCCCCATCCATACAGACCGGGTTACAAAACAGTGGATTAAGGGCCAGAATGTCAACTTGCTCGAGTGGCCGCCATACTCCCCAGACATAAATATTATTGAGAACATTTGGGGACTTTTATCCAGGAGAGTGTATGAAGGGGAAGACAATTTCAGGTCTCGGCGACCCTGGTTGAAGCGATAAACAAAGCCTGGTCAACTATTTCACTGAGTGAAATCGAAAAATATTACTATTCCATATCAACTCAAATGTTTGAAATAATTAAGAATAATGGTGGTCTTTTATTATTTAAGTTACCAAGTGCCATGAAATATTGCTATGAATAATTTTTTTTATAGTTTAGTCGGTCAAACCTGTTCACTTGAGCCAAAAATTATGTAGATTTTCAGTTATGCTTTTGAAAATATAATAAAAAAAATATAAAAACCAAACCAAACAAAAAACTTTTGTATTTTATAAATAATTGATCGTTTTACTTAACAAAATTTATTTGGTTTAAATCCGAGTGCTCGTTATGAAGATATTATGTTCTAAGTCTAAAAAAGAAGTCAAACCTATTCAGTTGAGCGGCACTGGTTTTTTTGTCTAAACAACTTGCCCGCCAGCAAGATACTGACGGCGTCTTTATTTTCAATTTAACTCATTACATAGCAACCTTTTTTAAATTTAAATGGCAACAGAAGTTATAAATTTGTTGGCAAAAACATATTGCAGCCCTATTACATTTAACAGCATGTCAGTATTTTGTTATTTGCTAACATTTAAATTTATTGACAGCTCAACTATCATGTGGCAACTTATCGGCTAAACGCGTTTTTGGTATTTTTTCTATTTATATCGATGGTTGGCAACTCACTATTAATGAACATTTCCGCTTCCCAGGTCTGGCGCAAATGTTACGAATTCGGGAGCATCACGGGCATCTTCCAAACCGCTTGCTCATCATGGTCAGTATTGCCGTCGCGGGAACTATGTTTTTATGCCCCATAATTTAGTAGGAGAGGCATCTCTCGAAGGCTACGCATCACGTTCGGCCTGCATGCACGCTTTATTGGGCGGCCGCAGCTGTACGATATTTCAACTCCATAGGATTGGATGGCCTGAATGCCACGGAGGCGATAACAGCATGCTGGATGGAGCCCACTCAGAGCTGTTGGGCCATTGTATACCCCGCTTGGTTGGGCGATGCCGATGCCGTCGCTCACCCCAGATTTAGTACATGGCTCATGGACCGTCTGGGCGTATTATCTTCTTGGTGAGTGTTTCTCTGGCGATCGCAAGAAACGCATCTTATTGGCTCCTCAGAGTTGGATAGCCTGGATAACAGGCCGGAGACGATACAGAAATGCTGGATGGAGCCCTCTCAGAGCTGCCGAGCTATTATCGACTCAAAGCCGTCGCTCATTCCAAGTTAAGCACATCATACGGCAGGCCGTCGTGGAGCACCACGTGGAAGCGTCGTGGATTGGAGCATCTGGCAGCGCCTCTCAAACGCCATACCATTTGCAGGTCAGCTGGCTCAAGCGGTCGCAAAAACGCATCATGTCGGCTTCTCAGTGTTGGATGGCCTGATTAACAGGCCAAAGGCCATACAGGATGCTGGATGGAGCCCACTACAGTGCCCAGATTCAGTAGGTGGCTCAGTAAACCGTCTGAGCGTATCGTATTCTTGGTGAGTGTTTATCTGTAACTTGCAAGCAGAGTGTTTGACTTTATGTTTCAATTTGCAGAACAACACATCAGCCTCGTAGTCTGGAAAACATCCAGTGGCGTCCCTCACACGCCACACAACCCGTGCAGGAATCGCATTAATCGACTGAAAGCTGTCGCTAATTCCAAAATGGATACATCATCCAGTAGGCCGACCTGGAGCATCTCGTCTTTGAAACTTCGTGGATTCGCACATCTGGCAGCGTCTCTCACACGCAACCCCACTTTGCCGGATCTGGAAGTCAGTTCGTTTTGGCGGTCGTAGCAGCGCATTAATCGACTCAAATCCATCGCTCATCCCAAAATGGGCACATCATCCAGTAGGCCGTCGTGGAGCATTTCGTCTTTTTGGTGAGTGAGTGACTTTATTTGCAGGACAGCACGGAAGCGTCGTGGATTGGAACATCTGGTGGCGTCTCTCCACGCCACACCACTCGTCCAGAATTTGCAGGTCAGCCGACCTTGACAGTCGCAACAACGCATCATGTCGGCTCCACAGAGCTGGATGGCCAGATTAACAGGCTGGAGATGATACAGGATGCTGGATAGAGCCCACTCAGAGCTGCTGAGCTATTGCATATTTTGTTTGGGTGGGCGATGCCAAATCCGTCGCTCACCGCAAATTTAGCCCAGTAGACCGTCGTGGGCGTATCGTCTTCTTGGTGAGTATGTGTCTGTAACTTTTAAGCAGAGCTTTTGATTTTATGTTTTTAATTTGCAGAACAACACATCAGCCTCGTAGTTTGGAATACATGTAGTGGCGTCTCTCACACGCCACACAACTTATCCAGGAATTTAAGGTCAGTTTGTCTTGGCGGTCGTAGCAGCGTATTAATCGATTCAAAGCGGTCGCTCATTCCAAAATGAACACATCATCCAGTAGGCTGACGTGGAGCATTAGGTTTTGGAAACGTCGTGGGTTGGCACATCTGGCAGTGTCTCTCACACGCAACCCCATTCTTGCAGGATTTGGAGGTCAGTGACTTTGGCAGTCGCAGAAACGGATCATGTCGGCTCCTCAACGTTGGATGGCCTGATTAACAGGCCGAAGCCGATACTGGATGCTGGATGGAGCCCACTACAGAGCCCAAATTCAATACGTGGCTCAGTAGACCGTCGTAGGCGTATCGTCTTCTTGATAAGTACATATGTATTTGTCCAGGAATTGCAGGTCAGCTGACTTTAACGGCCGTAGAGACGCATTATATCGGCTCCTCTTAGTTGAGTGGCCCTTCGTGCCGATCTCTCCATGTTTTAATATCTGGTCAATTTGACCGTCGTGGACGTATCATCTTTGTTTGCAGTACAGTACGTCAGCGTTAACGATCGGATCATCCAGCTGCGTCTCTCACACGGCACACAACTCGTCCAGGAAATTGAGGATTGCAAAATGGACACATCATCCAGAAGGCCGTCATGGAGTATTTCGTCTTCTTGGTGAGCATGAAATAAAAATTAAATTTTGTGACTTTATTTGCAGGACAGCACGGAAGCGTCGTGGATTGAACATCTGGTGGCGTTTCCCAGACGCCACGCAACTTGGCAACTTGCAGATCAGCAGTCTTTGGCAGTCATAGCAGCGCTTTTAATCGACATTTTAGGAGTTTGATGGCCTGAAACCGGACGCAATACACGATATTATTTTTATTTTATTTTTTTTAGGTGGACGATGCTATGGCCGCAAGTCTCTCCGAGTTTAGTATTGGCCCAGTAGGTTATCTTGGGTGTTTGCGTTTTCCATGTCTTCATCCAGAACGCGTTCCAGCGACTCGCAGACTTTCTGAAGACCATGATCTAGCAGTGTTTCATTGCTGTCGGCCATTTTTAACTGGCCTTGTTGAAGTTGTGGCTGCTGTCGATGTGGCAGTGATTGCAAGTTTGCTGGCTCCTCAGTTGATGTCGTTAGCGGCTGTTGTGACTACCTTGATAGAGCCTGTGGAGTTTGTATTGGCAGAGCTTGCTGTGCTTGTTGATCCTGCTGCCTCGCGTCCACATAGCCTGGTAGGATTAATCGCTGGAGTGGGGGCTGGCCCTGGATGCGGACCACTAGCTCTTCGCGAGTGATTTGTCCGCTTCTATACATTCTTCTATACGAATTTATACTTGATTCTCCGTATCTTCTAGGAGGCGGCCAATTTGATTGCTGGACCCTTTGCCTGGCCTGGATTTTGGCCAGTCTCTCATTTTCTCGCCTCTCAAGCTCTTCTTCTTGAAGCCGGAGAAGTGTTGGAATTTGCTCCCTGTCTTGCATCATTTGTTGTACCTGTTGTGTTTGCCGAGCGGTGTGTTGTATGTGAGATGGCTGTCCTTGGCGCTGTTGAGGCCCATGTCGTTGCTGCAGCGATCGTATGTGTTGTTGTATTTGCTGCGTGTAGGGGGACCCTCTGTAAGCGCTGCGGCTCAAATGGGTGCGATAGCAGATTTCGTGCCTCAGAATTTGCGTGTCTGGTCAAGGAGCTTGCTTGAGAGAGGTATGTTTGGTTCCCTCCAACAGCTGTCGTTGGCAACGCAGCGGCACACATGATCACTGTATCGTCGGCGTATATTGATAATAGCATGTGGATTTTTTGGGCTCCATAATATGTGCTTCGCATGAGTGATGGAAGGGGCATATCCGAGGAGTATAATGTATACAATATTGGGCCCAGTTGTTACGGAACTGCTTGTTTCTCAGTGGGCCGCGCCGGCTGGCTCATCGGATTCTCTGGGTGTAGTCCCATCCCTGGCCCGCAGTCCGTTTCTCTGTACCTTCATTTATATCGTATTTATTTTTCTTTGATTACACACCGACTTCAAAGAAGCCGAGTGCTTCTTCACCATTGGGCGCCATATTGTTACGGAACTGCTTGTTTCTCAGTGGGCCGCGCCGGCGGGCTCATCGGATTTTTCGGGTGTAGTTCCATCCCTGGCGCGCAGTCCGGACAATCGATAACAACAAAGCTACACTTCTGTAGCAAAACAGACTCACACAACTAACTAACCAATATTCGGATCTGCTAACTCATGAACAAAATAAACAGCTGTAACAACTATGAAAATGTAAACAACAAAGGTGAGACATTTAATATAAATTAACAAAAAAACACTATTTATCAACCTTACTCTTCCAGATCGGGCCCCGGTTCCGGACCCAGCGTACCCGCTCCACCATGAGACGATCACCTACACTCGTCTCCCTCATTTTGGCCACTAAATGGCCTACATTAGCCAGTGTCGACCCTCATGCCCACTCTCCCCAACAATTTACTTTAGCCGGACATGCTTTCTTTCAATAAGTGCGTATAATTGGTTGCGTCTTCTTAAAATTTATAACATTTTAATCGTCGCTTATGGCGTTTATCTTTGCAGCTATTTAGAATCTCATGCAAGTGGATATTTCGTTAACTTCACAGGTGCGTATAATGGTTTATGTATTCTTATAATTATTGGCATTAATATTTCTTTTATTTCTTTCTAATTTGCACGAGGTCTCCATTCAGATAAATAAGTATTCATGCACGTGAACATTTCTTCCCCGGGTGCGTATTAATGTTGCACATATTTATACTTATGGACAAAGTGTATAAATTCCTAAATTTTTCTCTTATCTTATAGAATTAATTTTTTTTTTATTTTAACACCACTAAATGGAACAGGCGACGAAATACTACAAAGATATTGCTAGTCGCCGCAAAAGAAACACGCAAGGAGGCAATTTAGAGGCAATCGTTGCGACGATTTAGGAACAATAAAAACAATAAAAACGATAATCAGTCGTGCAACAGGTAGGTGATATAGATCTGTATTAAATCGCTTAATTATACCTTACCCTACCTAAAGAGCTCTCAGGGGTGGTAGGGGCGATTTAAATGGATAATTCCAATTAGGTAAGTATGTGAGCTTAGTTCACGCAAGTGTTAATTTTAAATTTTTATATTTTACAGGCACAGATGCATCACCTTTGGAGTTTCCCTCACCGTTCGCACTCTAAAGTGAAGCTCGGCGTAAGTGCCTATGTATGTATAGATATAATTTATAAATACAAAGGAAAGAACTAAATTTAACGACAAAAAAAATCTGCTCCTTTTCAGGGAGTACTTTTCAGGAGTCTTCATCATTTCTCTGCCAAGGGCCCGAACGAGGATGGGCAAAAAGAGGAAAGGACTCCTTTGGCTTCAGGTCCCACACCGCTGAAGTCTTATATGGCACGAGTAGGTAGCTCATCATCGCGCAGCGTGTAGTGGAATCCGAGAAGCACGACGGAAGTAGAGAATATCCATAAACATGAGAAGTTTTCTTGTAGAGGTTGATGACGGTAAGTCACGTTCGCATGATGGCGAAACGGTCGCGACCGTTTATCGTAGCCTGGTGGTAGCCGCCACGAATAACAAAATAACAAAATAGCTTGTGATAGAATGTGATATAAGGGTAGGTATTACTAGAGTTTGTTTATTGTTTTCTATTTGTTTTGTCCCACTCTGTGCTAATATTTGGAATGTGCTGGCCGTAGTTAAATGAACTTCGGAGACAGGTAACCCAGGACGATATAAAGCCGATCCTGCGCCGCACCTGTCACACAGCATATCCTAAGGGTGCCCAGAAGTGCGACAGAAACCAAATAGCCTTCAAGGTAGCGTTCTTTGAATACCGTTCGTCAGTCAAACTGATGAACTGAGCAGTTGACGAATGCTTAAGTGTTGTCCACTGTCCAGATTATGCGTAGATTAGTTAGCCTGTGTTAGGATTTGTCTTCTCTCCCCCAAGTATTTGAAATTAATTAGAAAGAAAAAAATTTATTTTTGTGAGTGTTTTTGTGGTCGATGTGTATTAATTTATTATTATTTATTAGTAAGCTTGTTAGTGGGTGTTTATTTATTTATTAATTTATTAGGAATATTGGTAAAGTTATTTTTATAAGGGTAGTAAGCCTTGTAGAAGAGAGGGGTACAGTTCTCAGAAGGGATAAGTATGGCTGAGAAACAGGTGTCTGATTGGGCTTCTGACGCTGATGGGGCGTCGGCTCTGCCACCGCCGCGACCGGTTGGGGGGCTGGTGCGAACGCCAATGAATTTCCGGGGATTTCCAGAGAGACAGATCCCGGAAGAGGGTCACCTAGTAGACTTGGAGAAAGAATTGGCGCAACTAGATAAACCTCCACGGAACCTGGAGTTCTCAAAAGCCCCGAAAGACTCAGTGCTCAAGTTGGCGGCAAACGCGGCGATCGCTCAGGCCCACCAAACGTATCGGCATGCTCTGCCATCTGGTATCAGCGAGTCCATCCGCGAGGAGATGCAAGCTGGCTTCATGGAAATGATGAAGGGCATCATTGATGTGCTCAGGCCGCCAGGGAGCCAAAACGCCGAGACTAACACTGCGCCGAAGCCGCCGAGACATGTCGAGCCGGGACCACGAACAGGCGCCATCCCGAAAGAACGGGAAGTGCCCAGTTTACGTTGCAGATGCTCAGTCGAGCCAATAACCGCCATTGCCGAGTAGAGGACCGGAGAGCGGATGATTTTCAACCGGAGGAGGCGTACGCCAATGTACGAGAAATGGCGTACATGAAGCTCGAGCGGTGAAACGTCAAGTTTGACGGCAAGGACGCGATGAATTCGGACGAGGACTTCGTATTCCGCCTGGAGTTCCTGCAGAGGCAGTCTCAATGCCCGTGGAAGGAGGTCCTTCCTAATCGCCGCAAAAGAAACACGCAAGGAGGCAATTAAGAGGCAATCGTTGCGACGATTTAGGAACAATGTGCGCACACAAATACTTAAAGCTGAGTATGTTACGATAATCAGTCGTGCAACAGGTAGGTGATATAGATCTGTATTAAATCGCTCAATTCTACCTTACCCTACCTAAAGAGCTCTCAGGGGTGGTAAGGGGCGATTTAAATGGATAATTAAAATTAGGTAAGTATGTGAGCTTAGTTCGCGCAAGTGTTAATTTTAAATTTTTATATTTTACAGGCGCAGATGGATCACCTTTGGAGTTTCCCTCACCGTTCGCACTCTAAAGTGAAGCTCGGCGTAAGTGCCTATGTATGTATAGATATATTTTATAAATACAAAAAAAGAAAACTAAATTTAACGACAAAAAAAATCTGCTTCTTTTCAGGGAGTACGATCAAGAGTCTTCATCAATTCTCAGCCAAGGGCCCGAACGAGGATGGGCAAAAAGGAAACGGACTCACTCGGGGGATGTGGGTGTGGTGTCGCCTGTGGCCGCTTCTTCGTTGTTGGCCCCCGGTCGTTGGTGGCTCGTCTCGTCGCCTTCAGGGTTGCGCCGACGCTTGGCTGGCGGCGTCGCGCATATGGCTGGTGTGCGCCGCTGAGCCGAATACTGGCCTTTGGTATGTTTCGTGGGCCTCTCTGCTGCGAGACTGGTCCCTTTGTTGCCAGAGCCGTTAATTTTTATTATTTTATTGGTTCGTCTCTCGTCGCACTTAAGTTTCAAGTTTTATTTTATATATATATATTTTTTATATATATTTTGTGACTTGAGCGGTTTAATTTACTTATACCTATTAAATTGCAGAAAAAACATAACCAAAATTTTCATTTGTCTGTTAAGTTATTTGTTATTACGCGCTGGCCTAACTTGCCAGATGAAAATAAATTCGAATGTTTTGAGCCGATATGCAATATACAAATTTTATGCTCACTTCGAGCTAGCACGCCCGCCGTTAACTGTTGATCAAATCGAAATCCCTCTCCATTTGGGCAGCAACATCATCGGTGCCGAATTTTGGAACACGCATACATTGGCGAGGCGGCACCGTTGCTGCCCATCTGCACAGCTGCAGTTTTTTGGGTCAATGGTCCAAATGACGGCCAAGGGCATAACCAAGGGCATGCGATCCACTCTCCTCATAGTCTCTTTAAGAGCGAACCGGGCGGCCAATAGCAATCGTCGCTCTTGGCGCCGTGGATCGCAAGTCTGGCGTTGCCACCCTTCAAAAATTTGGGCTCCACCGTGGGCCCAGCTTCACTCCGCATACTCTGACCATATGACAAAAAGTATCGGCGTGGCCGATAATATCGCACGCAACCAACTAAGTACACCCTCGGTGCTGCCGATAACGTCAAATGCAACAAAGTACACTGCCCTGTGGAACGCCGGCAGCAATTCGACCTGTTCTGGATTTGACACCGTCATTGCAGTTTACCATAATAGTGCGCTCATTTAGGTAGTTTTCGAGTATCGTATAAAGGTTTGATGATAACAATTTTATCAGTTTATTCAGTAGGCCGTTATGCCACACGCGGTCAAAGGCTTCTGAGATGTCTATATAGACCGCTGAGCAAAACTGCCGCTCTTCGTATGCGCGTAATATAAATTGCATAACGCTGGCCAGTTGCTGCTCAGTGCCGTGCTCTCGCCTGAAGCCGAACTGATGGCTGGGCATTGCCTTGGAAAAATCCTGGGCTTCGAAGTGCCTTGATATTAAGAGCTTCTCAAAGATCTTTGATAGGCCCTGTGTTTTTCCCAGGCTTGGGAATCATAGCTATGCCAGCGTGTTTCCATTTGTTTTGGAAGTGCCCTAGCCTGAGACTAGAGTTGTAAATTAGCAGTAGGTATAACAGTGCTTTTTGTGGTAAGAGTTGGATAATTCTGTTATCTATTTTCTCTTCTCCAGGTGACTTTGTTTGCTTAGTGCATTGATTTTCAGCTTAAGCTTGTAAAGCGTGATTGGCTTGATTGTCTGCTGTAGCTCCTGGTCTGTTTGCTGCTGCTGAAGCTTCTGCTGCTTCAGTTGCCTCCATTCTTCGCGAATTTCTGCACGCTCCTCATCCGAGTTTGAGAAGTTGAGAAGTGGGCTGAAACGTTCTTCAAGGTGAGCGCCGAAGGCCTTCGCTTTTTTGGCAGTTGTTTTTTTCCACATTGCGTTTGAATTTGACGCATTCCTCGCGACTCCGTTGCCAGCATTAGCCTGTGGCAGTTTTATTGGCCAGTTTGGCAGTGGCTGTTTTTTTTATTTTGTTGGTAAGTCGCCATAGCTTTTGCATTGCATATCGATCATGAGTGTCAATGTCCACAAGTATTTTATTAATGTTCTTGTTTTTCAGCTGTGCAGCCCTGTATTGCTGTCTTGCCTCTGGAGTTCGTGTCGCCATTAAGATCTGTTTGCATCTCTGTTTCAGTCCAGTTCAAGTTCGTGCCTATGGCGGCCCCGGTGACTATGTTGGTTTCCATGATGCCTGTGTGCTGCGGCATTTGCAGCTATTTAGATGTTGCGTACGAGGATATCCACTGCAACGTCGATGTCCGTGCCACTGCGGATCTCGGTGTTTAGGTGGATTTGCTGGTCAAGAACATCCTGAAATCGATGCGTATTGGCCCCAGAAGGTAGCAGTCTGCGATTATCAGTTTGAGTTGTAAAATTTTGGTTTCTGTTAGTAATCAGATCAACTCTTTAAAGCAGGTGGTCTTCGTCCAAGTCTGTTGAGGAGTGGATTCGAAGCCGATTGCTATCTAAGCCACCGTGGACTGCAAAGTCAATTGCAGAAGGACTTTTCCTTCTATCGTACGGGTAATGCGTCGCTCCACCGGTGGCCAAGACATTATAACGACAATGACAGGCGGATTGCCCCACCATGAGTGCTGGGCGTTCCAATCGCCGCAGAAAATAAAGTTAGATGGAGCCGGGTCGGTGAAGTTGTCAAAATGTTTGAATAGTTTTGTGATGTGTTCGACGGACAATTTGAACACTGGTGGGCAATAGATTGGGGCAATTATAATTATTTTCCTTTTATTCTCATTTTCAAGCAACAGGGCAATAGGCATTCTCTGGAGAAAGTTCGCGTTAATTGGCTGGAGGGCAGCGTGCCTGATATCGTTACGCACAAAGATAGCGACCCCCCCTCTACAATGCGTGCGTGCATGGGTTACACTGTACGTGTGGTAGCCTGCTACGCTTTGTATGTTAGTGCCGGACGTGACCCGAGTTTCGATGACCATCATGATTTGTATGGACTCGCGTCGAATGTACAGCTCGAGTTCCGTCATTTTGTTGCCTATGCCACATGCGTTCCAGAAAGCAATTTTAAATGGGTTGCTATTTTGGCTGCAATTGTGGATGGTCAGATGTGAATTTACTGTACTGATTGGCGCCGGACTGCGGACATTTTCAGCGGAAGTATTAGTGGCTAAAGTCGATTGAGCGGCGGTACTACCGTGTGGATGACTATACATAATTGATGGATTCATTGGCGATGGCAGCTTCCATAGAGCAGTCCATTTGGACTGTTTTGCTGTCTGATTGTTGTTGAGCTGTGTTTTACAACACATGATTATTGGTATTTGTGTTATTGTTTTTATAATGAGTGGCAATTGCAAAAGGACATTTAATAAAGTATATATTCCTCGTTTCATGCGAGTGAACATTGCCATGTTTTGTTCCAAGTTCTGGATTATATTGCTTTTGGACATTGCTGATTGTTGCCCTACCAGCTGCGGTTATTCGTCCCATTTATGCCGTTGGGGAGTTACCAGTTGACTTCCGAAAGGATTACGCAAGGAGGCAGCGTCGACACGGCTGTGCGTCAACTAGGCACCACTGGCTGGAGTAGCTCTCTGCTATTTGTTGATGTTGCTTGCTTCCTGAAATTGTACAGATGATGTTGTTGTTGTTGCTTCTGCCGTCTGTGTAGTGGCTGCTGGAGAGCTCTCAAATGCTTTTAGGCTGGGTTTCGTTCACGGACAGTGGCATTGCCGCCATCTCGTACAACCCGGCTATAGGACATATTGCTGGATCTTTCGGCTGGTTTCGGTGTACTGACATTATTTGTTGCTGATTGCTGCTGTTCCCCCGTGGAAAGATTTGGATGTTGTTTTTGATGCTGTTGCAAACGTAGTTGCCGCTGGAAGGAAGCCAAATGACTTTAGGCCGGGTTACGTACGTTGCGCACTTAGGCTCCACCTTTCTGGGTTTGGTACATGCAGTTGACATGTGCTCGCCTGTGCATTTCATGCAGACGAAGGGCCGCCTGCAATATTTTTTCGTGTGACCGATGGCACTGCACTGGATCTCGAGGTTTTGCTTGCCGCTCGACCGTGATGGATTGGCTGCCCAGCTCTTTCAGGTTGAGGATGCCTTCATGGCTCCCATCCGCTTTGGTCTGCAGTTCGGTTTCAAACAAATTTAGCGGCCTGCCTGTGAACCGGTGTTTTATGACTCGGATGAAACGAGTGACAAAGCCCATTTGTTCTAGATTGGCCGCTAACCATTCACAGGTTGTAGAGTGGTGGATATGCCGTAAGATTATGCGATATTCCTTTTCGCTGCGCAGTTGGTGCGTATGCAGATGAGTGCCTTCTTCAGCCAGGGCGGATAGAATTGCTTTATGCGTGGCTAGATCTTCACATTGAACACTTAGTCCAGTGCCAGAGGTTGCCTTTGTCCAGAATTTTCGCACACCTGGATTGCTTTTCAGTTTATCCAGATAATTGCGGGCACCATTGGCAAGAAGAGCACAGGCACTTTCTTGCCTTGTGTTGCCTGTTGCTGGATTGGCTGGGGAAGTTTCTCTTTCGATTCCTGCTTCAGACTCTCGTCCTGATGTTGTTGCGATTGTTGTTGTTGTAGCGGTTGCAGTTGCTGGCATTTCTGTGGCTGCTGCCCTCTTTGTGCTGTCTGATGTCCGTGTTGCTCTGCCTCACTTTAGAGCATTTGTTGGCGGCGTGCCTCGTGGTGAAGCTTGATAGCGAAACCACTCTTAAAGATGGGCGTCGTTAACGGTAGTATTTGGAGAGCGGGATCATAGTCAGACTCGTCCATATCCACACATCTTCTCTTCAGAGGTGATCGCCACGTTGTGGCGGAGGTATTTATCGTTGCTAGTTGAGGCTTTGGTAGTTCGCTGGGCAGCAGTGGTGGCACACCTGATAGCCAGTTTTGTAGCAGTGTTGCTTTGTCATTGCTGGTAGTTTCTATTGTTGTCGTTAGCGTCTGTGTTGGTGGCGATTTTGTTAATGATGGCATCAAATTTCTTCTGGTTGTTGTAGCTGTTGCTGCTGCCACAGGGATAGAGTTGTTGGAGAAATAGCTTCCAAGGTTTAACTTGTTGTTGATGCTGTATTGGCTGTTGCTGTAATAGTTGTTGCTGAGTGCCAATTATGTTAGAATTTATGAGTGTATTGGTAAAGGAGGACTGCAAAGCAGCGTTTAGTTCTTGCTGCGTTATGTGTGTGCCGAAATTGTTGGCACTTGTCGGTAAAGCAGTTCCTTTGCCCTGTGTGTGTATTTGTTCTGCACACTATTGTAGTATGCCTGTGCCGATTTCGTTGGCACTTGGCGTTCTTCTTGTGTCTCTTACTTCTCTTTTGGCGGGAAAAGGGCCGTTGCTTTTACGTTTGATTATGTTAGTGATTTTCGCTTTTTTTATGATTTTATATGTATTGGCGCCTTTTTTTTGTGGTGTTAGTGGCGTCTAATGCGCGTTTTGGCGGCACTTTCTTTGCTTGATCTTTTTCAAAGATTTTTGGGCAAATGGGGTTTTCAATTACTGTCGTTTGCAGTGGGCTCGGCGGAGCATCAATCTCGGCAAGGACGGCGTCATCCTCGGGATCGAACATGTTCTCGTCCATGAGAAATCGGATCGCGGATGGACTTAGTGGACATGTCCGAGTCGGACTGGGACAGGAGAGAGACTATGTACTCACAGCTTGAACTAGTCGGAGCTGCCGCCAGTGGGTCAGCAACCTGACTTAGATTGGCTGGAGCAAGTGAGTCCTTGGAGAGTCGTCGGGTAGCACCGTGAGTAGTCGCGTCTGGCACAGTCAAGAGTGCCGTCCTTAATTTTTCAAGTTGTGAGTTGTCAGATTCACTGGCACTGGGCATGGTGTAATTCGCTATATCACCGAAGTTGTAGCCAACCGAGATTAAGGAGGCGTCGGAGGAATCGCATTCCTCATCCGAGCGCGGCATTAATTTTTTTTTTTTTTTATCTTAACCACTTTTTTTCTTTATTATTTATTTTATTTTTTTGTCTTAACAACTTGCCCTCCAGCAAGATACTGATTTCTTATATTTATTCTTCTCTCTTTGTTCCTAAAAATGAAAGCAGGAAAAAATTATGCTACATCGGCATCAGAGAGGCTACTAATCCTTCGAAGTGCTTCGAATTCCCACCTCTCTGCCAGTAAAATCAGGGATGAATGCGGTGTAAATGTTAGTTTGGCAACGGTAAAACGAGTTATTCGAACAGTTAAAGAGATTAAAAATAAAAAACCTCCTCTCAATGATACACGGAAGGAAGCGCTACTTCGATTTGCGCGGGATCACATGACATGCAACAAGGAGTGGAAGGCTGTGGTCTTCTCCGAAGACAAAAAGTTTAATCTCGCCGGACCGTATGGCTACAACTTTTATTTCACGATATGCGCAATGAGGAATGCTTCTTGAGTCCTCATCACTCCTGTACAGGAGGCGTAATGGTTTGGGGAGCCATATCGTTTTATGGAACTTGCGAGATGCAGTTTGTTTCCTCAAAGATGAATGCAAATGTCTACAAGACTGTGCTCCAAAAGGTTTTTCCCCAGTTTTCCGAAATTTTTGGACCTATTCAATGGACAAACAAGACAACGCCCCCATCCATACAGCCCGGGTTACAAAACAGTAATATTCAGGGCCAGAATGTCAACATGCTCGAGTGGCCGCCATACTCCCCAGACATAAATATTATCGAGAACATTTGGGGACTTTTATCCAGGAGAGTGTATGAAGGGGAAGACAATTTCAGGACTCGGCCTGGTTGAAGCGATAAAAAAAGCCTGGTCAACTATTTCACTGAGTGAAATTGAAAAATATTACGATTCCATATCAACTCGAATGTTTGAAATAATGGAATAATGGAATGCTGGATGGAGCCCTCTCAGAGCTGCCGAGCTATTATCGACTCAAAGCCGTCGCTCATTCCAACTTAAGCACATCATCCGGCAGGCCGTCGTGGAGCACCTCGTGGAAGCGTCGTGGATTGGAGCATCTGGCAGCGCCTCTCAAACGCCATACCATTTGCAGGTCAGCTGGCTCAAGCGGTCGCAAAAACACATGATGTCGGCTTCTCAGTGTTGGATGGCCTGATTAACAGGCCAAAGGCCATACAGGATGCTGGATGGAGCCCACTACAGTGCCCAGATTCAGTAGGTGGCTCAGTAGACCGTCTGGGCGTATCGTATTCTTGGTGAGTGTTTATCTGTAACTTGCAAGCAGAGTGTTTGACTTTATGTTTCAATTTGCAGAACAACACATCAGCCTCGTAGTCTGGAAAACATCTAGTGGCGTCTCTCACACGCCACACAACCCGTCCAGGAATCGCATTAATCGACTGAAAGCGGTCGCTTATTCCCAAATGGACACATAATCCAGTAGGCCGACGTGGAGCATCTCGTCTTGGAAACGTCGTAGATTCGCACATCTGGCATTGTCTCTCACACGCTACCCCACTTTGCCGGATCTGGAAGTCAGTTTTTTTTGTTGATCGTAGCAGCGCATTAATCGACTCAAAACCATCGCTCAATCCAAAATGGGCACATCATCCAGTAGGCCGTCGTGGAGCATTTCGATTTTTTGGTGAGTGAGTGACTTTATTTGCAGGACAGCACGGAAGCGTCGTGGATTGGAACATCTGGCGGCGTCTCTCCACGCCACACCACTCGTCCAGAATTTGCAGGTCAGCCGACCTTGACAGTCGCAACAACGCATCATGTCGGCTCCACAGAGCTGGATGGCCAGATTAACAGGCTGGAGATGATACAGGATGCTGGATAGAGCCCACTCAGAGCTGCTGAGCTATTGCATATTTCGTTTGGGTGGGCGATGCCAAATCCGTCGCTCACCCCAAATTTAGCCCAGTAGACCGTCGTGGGCGTATCGTCTTCTTGGTGAGTATGTGTCTGTAACTTTTAAGCAGAGCTTTTGATTTTATGTTTTTAATTTGCAGAACGACACATCAGCCTCGTAGTTTGGAATACATCTAGTGGCGTCTCTCACACGCCACACAACTTATCCAGGAATTTCAGGTCAGTTTGTCTTGGCGGTCGTAGCAGCGTATTAATCGATTCAAAGCAGTCGCTCCTTCCAAAATGAACACATCATCCGGTAGGCTGACGAGGAGCATTAGGTTTTGGAAACGTCGTGGGTTGGCACATCTGGCAGTGTCTCTCACACGCAACCCCATTCTTGCAGGATTTGGAGGTCAGCGACTTTGGCAGTCGCAGAAACGGATCATGTCGGCTCCTCAACGTTGGATGGCCTGATTAACAGGCCGAAGCCGATACAGGATGCTGGATGGAGCCCACTACAGAGCCCAAATTCAATACGTGGCTCAGTAGACCGTCGTAGGCGTATCGTCTTCTTGATAAGTATGTATTTGTCCAGGAATTGCAGGTCAGCTGACTCTAACGGCCGTAGAGACGCATCATATCGGCTCCTCTTAGTTGAGTGGCCCTTCATGCCGATCTCTCCAAGTTTTAATATCTGGTCAATTTGACCGTCGTGGGCGTATCATCTTTGCAGTACAGTACGTCAGCGTAAACGGTCGGATCATCCAGCGGCGTCTCTCACACGGCACACAACTCGTCCAGGAAATTGATGATTGCAAAATGGACACATCATATAGAAGGCCGTCATAGAATATTTCGTCTTCTTGGTGAGCATGTAATAAAAATTAAATTTTGTGACCTTATTTGCAGGACAGCACGGAAGCGTCGTGGATTGAACATCTGGTGGCGTTCCGCAGACACCACGCAACTTGGCAACTTGCAGATCAGCATTTTTTGGCAGTCATAGCAGCGCTTTTAATCGACTTTTAAGGAGTTTGATGGCCTGAAGCCGGTCGCAATACAGGATATTATTTTGTTTTTATTTTTTATTTTTGTTTTTTTTAGGTGGACGATGCTATGGCCGCAAGACTCTCCGAGTTTAGTATTGGCCCAGTAGGTCATCTTGGGAGTTTGCGTTTTCCATGTCTTCATCCAGAACGCGTTCCAGCGACTCGCAGACTTTCTGAAGACCATGATCTAGCAGTGTTTCATTGCTGTCAGCCATTTTTAACTGGCCTTGTTGAAGTTGTGGCTGCTGTCGATGTGGCAGTGATTGCAAGTTTGCTGGCTCCTCAGTTGATGTCGTTAGCGGCTGTTGTGACTACCTTGATAGAGCCTGTGGAGTTTGTATTGGCAGAGCTTGCTGTGCTTGTTGATCCTGCTGCCTCGCGTCCACATAGCCTGGTAGGATTAATCGCTGGATTGTTGGGGGCTGGCCCTGGATGCGGACCACTAGCTCTTCGCGAGTGATTTGTCCGCTTCTTTACATTCTTCTATACGAATTTATACTTGATTCTCCGAATCTTCTAGGAGGCCAATTTGATTGCTGGATCTTTTGCCTGGCCTGGATTTCGGCCAGTCTCTCATTTTCTCGCCTCTCCAGCTCTTCTTCTTGAAGCCGGAGGAGTGTTGGAATTTGCTCCCTGTCTTGCATCATTTGTTGTGCCTGTTGTGTTTGCCGAGCGGTGTGTTGTATGTGAGATGGCTGTCCATGGCGCTGTTGAGGCCCATGTTGTTGCTGCAGCGATCGTATGTGTTGTTGTATTTGCTGCTTGTAGCGGGACCCTCTGTAAGCGCTGCGGCTCAAATGCACCCATTTGCATAGCAGATTTCGTGCCTCAGAATTTGCGTGTCTGGTCAAGGAGCTTGCTTGAGAGAGGTATGTTTGGTTCCCTCCAACAGCTGTCGTTGGCAGCGCAGCGGCACACATGATCACTGTATCGTCGGCGTATATTGATAATAGCATGTGGATTTTTAGGGCTCCATAATATGTGCTTCGCATGAGTGATGGAAGGGGCATATCCGAGGAGTATAATGTATACAATATTGGGCCCAGTTGTTACGGAACTGCTTGTTTCTCAGTGGGCCGCGCCGGCTGGCTCATCGGATTCTCTGGGTGTAGTCCCATTCCTGGCCCCCAGTCCGTTTCTCTGTACCTTCATTTATATCGTATTTATTTTTCTTTGATTACACACCGACTTCAAAGAAGCCGTGTGCTTCTTCACCATTGGGCGCCATATTGTTACGGAACTGCTTGTTTCTCAGTGGGCCGCGCCGGCGGGCTCATCGGATTTTTCGGGTGTAGTTCCATCCCGGACAATCGATAACAACAAAGCTACACTTCTGTAGCAAAACAGACTCACACAACTAACTAACCAATATTCGGATCTGCTAACTCATGAACAAAATAAACAGCTGTAACAACTATGAAAATGTAAACAACAAAGGTGAGACACTTAATATAAATTAACAAAAAAACGCTATTTATCAACCTTACTCTTCCAGATCGGGCCCCGGTTCCGGACCCAGCGTACCCGCTCCACCATGAGACGATCACCTACACTCGTCTCCCTCATTTTGGCCACTAAATGGCCTACATTAGCCAGTGTCGACCCTCATGCCCACTCTCCCCAACAATTTACTTTAGCCGGACATGCTTTCTTTCAATAAGTGCGTATAATTGGTTGCGTCTTCTTAAAATTTATAACATTATAATCGTCGCTTATGGCGTTTATCTTTGCAGCTATTTAGAATCTCATGCAAGTGGATATTTCGTTAACTTCACAGGTGCGTATAATGGTTTATGTATTCTTATAATTATTGGCATTAATATTTCTTTTATTTCTTTCTAATTTGCACGAGGTCTCCATTCAGATAAATAAGTATTCATGCACGTGAACATTTCTTCCCCGGGTGCGTATTAATGTTGCACATATTTATACTTGTGGACAAAGTGTATTAATTCCTGAATTTTTCTCTTATCTTATACAATTAATTTTTTTTTATTTTAACAGCACTAAATGGAACAGGCGACGAAATACTACAAAGATATTGCTAGTCGCCGCAAAAGAAACACGCAAGGAGGCAATTTAGAGGCAATCGTTTCGACGATTTAGGAACAATAAAAACAATAAAAACGGTAATCAGTGCAACAGGTAGGTGATATAGATCTGTATTAAATCGCTTAATCATACCTTACCCTACCTAAAGCGCTCTCAGGGGTGGTAAGGGGCGATTTAAATGGATAATTCCAATTAGGTAAGTATGTGAGCTTAGTTCGCGCAAGTGTTAATTTTAAATTTTTATATTTTACAGGCACAGATGTATCACCTTTGGAGTTTCCCTCACCGTTCGCACTCTAAAGTGAAGCTCGGCGTAAGTGCCTATGTATGTATAGATATAATTTATAAATACAAAAAAAAAAACTAAATTTAACGACAAAAAAAATCTGCTCCTTTTCAGAAGTCTTCATCATTTCTCTGCCAAGGGCCAGAACGAGGATGGGCAAAAAGAGAAAAGGGCTCCTTTGGCTTCAGGGCCCACACCGTTGAAGTCTTATGTGGCACGAGTAGGTAGCTCATCATCGCGCAGCGTGTAGTGGAATCCGAGAAGCACGACGGAAGTAGAGAATATCCATAAACATGAGAAGTTTTCTTGTAAAGGTTGATGACGGTAAGTCACGTTCGCATGTTGGCGAAACGGTCGCGACCGTTTATCGTAGCCTGGTGGTAGCCGCCACGAATAACAAAATAACAAAATAGCTTGTGATAGAATGTGATATTAGGGTAGGTCTTACTAGAGTTTGTTTAATGTTTTCTATTTGTTTTGTCCCACTCTGTGCTAATATTTGGAATGTGCTTGCCGTAGTTAAATGAGCTTCGGAGACAGGTAACCCAGGACGATATAAAGCCGATCCTGCGCCGCACCTGTCACACAGCATATCCTAAGGGTGCCCAGAAGTGCGACAGAAACCAAATAGCCTTCAAGGTAGCGTTCCTTGAATGCCGTTCGTCAGTCAAACTGATGAACTGAGCAGTTGACGAATGCTTAAGTGTTGTCCACTGTCCAGATTATGCGTAGATTAGTTAGCCTGTGTTAGGATTTGTCTTCTCTCCCCCAAGTATTTGAAATTAATTAGAAAGAAAAAAATTTATTTTTGTGAGTGTTTTTGTGGTCGATGTGTATTAATTTATTATTATTTATTAGTAAGCTTGTTAGTGGGTGTTTATTTATTTATTAATTTATTAGGAATATTGGTAAAGTTATTTTTATAAGGGTAGTAAGCCTTGTAGAAGAGAGGGGTACAGTTCTCAGAAGGGATAAGTATGGCTGAGAAACAGGTGTCTGATTGGGCTTCTGACGCTGATGGGGCGTCGGCTCTGCCACCGCCGCGACCGGTTGGGGGCTGGTGCGAACGCCAATGAATTTCCGGGGATTTCCAGAGAGACAGATCCCGGAAGAGGGTCACCTAGTAGACTTGGAGAAAGAATTGGCGCAACAAGATAAACCTCTACGGAACCTGGAGTTCTCAAAAGCCCCGAAAGACTCAGTGCTCAAGTTGGCGGCAAACGCGGCGATCGCTCAGGCCCACCAAACGTATCGGCATGCTCTGCCATCTGGTATCAGCGAGTCCATCCGCGAGGAGATGCAAGCTGGCTTCATGGAAATGATGAAGGGCATCATTGATGTGCTCAGGCCGCCAGGGAGCCAAACCGCCGAGACTAACACTGCGCCGAAGCCGCCGAGACATGTCGAGCCGGGACCACGAACAGGCGCCATCCCGAAAGAACGGGAAGTGCCCAGTTTACGTTGCAGATGCTCAGTCGAGGAACCCGAATAACCGCCATTGCCGAGTAGAGGACCGGAGAGCGGATAATTTTCAACCGGAGGAGGCGTACGCCAATGTACAAGAAATGGCGTACATGAAGCTCGAGCGGTGAAACGTCAAGTTTGACGGCGAGGACGCGATGAATTCGGACGAGGACTTCGTATTCCGCCTGGAGTTCCTGCAGAGGCAGTATCAATGCCCGTGGAAGGAGGTCCTTCCTAGTCGCCGCAAAAGAAACACGCATGGAGGCAATTTAGAGGCAATCGTTGCGACGATTTAGGAACAATGTGCGCACACAAATACTTAAAGCTGAATATATTACGATAATCAGTCGTGCAACAGGTAGTTGATATAGATCTGTATTAAATCGCTCAATTCTACCTTACCCTACCTAAAGAGCTCTCAGGGGTGATAAGGGGCGATTTAAATGGATAATTCCAATTAGGTAAGTATGTGAGCTTAGTTCGCGCAAGTGTTAATTTTAAATTTTTATATTTTACAGGCGCAGATGGATCACCTTTGGAGTTTCCCTCACCGTTCGCACTCTAAAGTGAAGCTCGGCGTAAGTGCCTATGTATGTATAGATATAATTTATAAATACAAAAAAAAAAACTAAATTTAACGACAAAAAAATTCTGCTTCTTTTCAGGGAGTACGATCAGGAGTCTTCATCAATTCTCTCCCAAGGGCCCGAACGAGGATGGGCAAAAAGGAAACGGACTCACTCGGGGGATGTGGGTGTGGTGCCGCCTGTGGCCGCTTCTTCGTTGTTGGCCCCCGGTCGTTGGTGGCTCGTCTCGTCGCCTTAAGGGTTGCGCCGACGCTTGGCTGGCGGCGTCGCGCATATGGCTGGTGTGCGCCGCTGAGCCGAATACTGGCCTTTGGTATGTTTCGTGGGCCTCTCTGCTGCGAGACTGGTCCCTTTGTGGCCGGGGCCGTTAATTTTTATTTTTTTAATGGTTCGTCTCTCGTCGCACTTAAGTTTCAAGTTTTATTTTATATATATATATTTTTTATATATATTTTGGGACTTGAGCGGTTTAATTTACATATACCTATTAAATTGCAGAAAAAACAAAACCAAAATTTTCATTTGTCTGTTAAGTTATTTGTTATTACGCGCTGGCCTAACTTGCCAGATGAAAATAAATTCGAATCTTTTGAGCCGATATGCAATATACAAATTTCATGCTCACTTCGAGCTGGCACGCCCGCCGTTAACCGTTGATCAAATCGAAATCCCTCTCCATTTGGGCAGCAACATCATCGGTGCCGAATTTTGGAACACGCATACATTGGCGAGGCGGCACCGTTGCTGCCCATCTGCACAGCTGCATTTTCTTGGGTCAATGGCCCAAATGACAAATGACTCTTTAAGAGTGAACCGGGCGGCCAATAGCAATCGTCGCTCTTGGCGCCGTGGATCGCAAGTCTGGCGTTGCCACCCTTCAAAAATTTGGGCTCCACCGTGGGCCCAGCTTCACCCCGCATACTCTGACCATATAAAAAAAGTATCGGCGTGGCCGATAATATCGCACGCAACCAACTAAGCACACCCTCGGTGCTGCCGATAACTTCAAATGCAACAAAGTACACTGCCCTGGGGAACGCCGGCAGCAATTCGACCTGTTCTGGATTTGACACCGTCATTGCAGTTTACCACAATAGTGCGCTCATTTAGGTAGTTTTCGAGTATCGTATAAAGGTTTGATGGTAACAATTTTATCAGTTTATTCAGTAGGCCGTTATGCCACACGTGGTCAAAGGCTTCTGAGATGTCTATATAGACCGCTGAGCAAAACTGCCGCTCTTCGTATGCGCGTAATATAAATTGCATAACGCTGGCCAGTTGCTGCTCAGTGCCGTGCTCTCGCCTGAAGCCGAACTGATGGCTGGGCATTGCCTTGTTGATGTTGCTTCAGCTGTGTTTTTCCCAGGCTTGGGAATCATAGCTATGCCAGCGTGTTTCCATTTGTTTTGGAAGTGCCCTAGCCTGAGACTAGAGTTGTAAATTAGCAGTAGGTATAACAGTGCTTTTTGTGGTAAGAGTTGGATAATTCTGTTATCTATTTTATCTTCTCCAGATGACTTTGTTTGCTTAGTGCATTGATTTTCAGCTTAAGCTTGTTAAGCGTGATTGGCTTCATTGTCTGCTGTAGCTCCTGGTCTGTCTGCTGCTGCTGAAGCTTCTGCTGCTTTAGTTGCCTCCATTCTTCGCGAATTTCCGCACGCTCCTCATCCGAATTTGAGAAGTGGGCTGAAACGTTCTTCAAGGTGAGCGCCGAAGGCCTTCGCTTTTTTGGCAGTTGTTTTTTTCCACATTGCGTTTGAATTTGACGCATTCCTCGCGACTCCGTTGCCAGCATTAGCCTGTGGCAGTTTTATTGGCCAGTTTGGCAGTGACTGTTTTTTTTATTTTGTTGGTAAGTCGCCATAGCTTTTGCATTGCATATCGATCATGAGTGTCAATGTCCACAAGTATTTTATTAATGTTCTTGTTTTTCAGCTGTGCAGCCCTGTGTTGCTGTCTTGCCTCTGGAGTTCGTGTCGCCATTAAGATCTGTTTGCATCTCTGTTTGTCCCATAGTAGTCTTCTGGTCGACTCGTCCAGTTCAAGTTCGTGCCTATGGTGGCCCCGGTGATTAGGTTGGTTTCCATGATGCCTGTGTGCTGCGGCATTTGCAGATATTTGGATGTTGCGTACGAGGATATCCACTGCAATGTCGATGTCCGTGCCACTGCGGATCTCGGTGTTTAGGTGGATTTGCTGGTCAAGAACATCCTGAAATCGATGCGTATTGGCCCCAGAAGGTAGCAGTCTGCGATTATCAGATTGAGTTGTAAAATTTTGGTTTCTGTTAGTAATCAGATCAACTCTTTAAGGCAGGTGGTCTTCGTCCAAGTCTGTTGAGGAGTGGATTCGAAGCCGATTGCTATCTAAGCCACCGTGGACTGCAAAGTCAATTGCAGAAGGAATTTTCCTTCTATCGTACGGGTAATGCGTAGCTCCACCGGTGGCCAGGACATTATAACGACAATGTGTGTGAATTGCTACGAAGAGCGCTTTGCCTCTGTGACAGGCTCGCGGATTGCCCCACCATGAGTGCTGGGCGTTCCAATCGCCGCAGAAAATAAAGTTAGATGGAGCCGGATCGATGAAGTTGTCAAAATGTTTGAATAGTTTTGTGAAGTGTTCGACGGACCATTTGAACACTGGTGGGCAATAGATTGGGGCAATTATAATTATTTCCCTTTTATTCTCATTTTCAAGCAACAGGGCAATAGGCATTCTCTGGAGAAAGTTCGCGTTAATTGGCTGGAGGGCAGCGTGCCTGATATCGTTACGCACAAAGATAGCGACCCCCCCTCTACAATGCATGCGTGGATGGGTTACACTGTACGTGTGGTAGCCTGATACGCTTTGTATGTTAGTGTCGTGACCAGAGTTTCGATGACCATCATGATTTGTATGGACTCGCGTCGCATGTACATCTCGAGTTCCGTCATTTTGTTGCCTATGCCACATGCATTCTAGAAAGCAATTTTAAATGGATTGCTATTTTGGCTGCAATTGTGGATGGTCAGATGTGAATTTACTGTACTGATTGGCGCCGGACTGCGGACATTTTCAGCGGAAGTAGTAGTGGCTAAAGTCGTTTGAGCGGCGGTACTACCGTGTGGATGACTATACATAATTGATGGATTCATTGGCGATGGCAGCTTCCATAGAGCAGTCCATTTGGACTGTTTTGCTGTCTGATTGTTGTTGAGCTGTGTTTTACAACACATGATTATTGGTATTTGTGCTATTGTTTTTATTATGAGTGGCAATTGCAAAAGGACATTTAATAAAGTATCTATTCCTCGTTTCATGCGAGTGAACATTGCCATGTTTTGTTCCAAGGTCTGGATTATATTGCTTTTGAACATTGCTGATTGTTGCCCTACCAGCTGCTGTTGTTCGTCCCATCTATGCCGTTGGGGAGTTACCAGTTGACTTCCGAAAGGATTACGCAAGGAGGCAGCGTCGACACGGCTGTGCGTCAACTAGGCACCACTGGCTGGAGTAGCTCTCTTCTATTTGTTGATGTTGCTTGCTTCCTGAAATTGTACAGATGATGTTGTTGTTGTTGCTTCTGCCGTCTGTGTAGTGGCTGCTGGAGAGCTCTCAAATGCTTTTAGGCTGGGTTTCGTTCACGGACAGTGGCATTGCCGCCATCTCGTACAGCCCGGCTATAGGACATATTGCTGGATCTTTCGGCTGGTTTCGGTGTACTGACATTATTTGTTGCTGATTGCTGCTGTTTCCCCGTGGAAAGATTTGGATGTTGTTTTTGATGCTGTTGCAAACGTAGTTGCCGCTGGAAGGAGGCCAAATGACTTTCGGCCGGGTTACGTACGTTGCGCACTTAGGCTCCACCTTTCTGGGCTTGGTACATGCAGTTGACATGTGCTCGCCTGTGCATTTCATGCAGACGAAGGGCCGCCTGCAATATTTTTTCGTGTGACCAAAGACCAAAGGCACCGATGGCACTGCACTGGATCTCGAGGTTTTGCTTGCCGCTCGACCGTGATGGATTGGCTGCCCAGCTCTTTCAGGTTGAGGATGCCTTCATGGCTCCCATCCGCTTTGGTCTGCAGTTCGGTTTCAAACAAATTTAGCGGCCTGCCTGTGAACCGGTGTTTTATGACTCGGATGAAACGAGTGACAAAGCCCATTTGTTCTAGATTGGCCGCTAACCATTCACAGGTTGTAGAGTGGTGGATATGCCGTAAGATTATGCGATATTCCTTTTCGCTGCGCAGTTGGTGCGTATGCAGATGAGTGCCTTCTTCAGCCAGGGCGGATAGAATTGCTTTATGCGTGGCTAGATCTTCACATTGAACACTTAGTCCAGTGCCAGAGGTTGCCTTTGTCCAGAATTTTCGCACACCTGGATTGCTTTTCAGTTTATCCAGATAATTGCGGGCACCATTGGCAAGAAGAGCACAGGCACTTTCTTGCCTTGTGTTGCCTGTTGCTGGATTGGCTGGGGAAGTTTCTCTTTCGATTCCTGCTTCAGACTCTCGTCCTGATGTTGTTGCGATTGTTGTTGTTGTAGCGGTTGCAGTTGCTGGCATTTCTGTGGCTGCTGCCCTCTTTGTGCTGTCTGATGTCCGTGTTGCTCTGCCTCACTTTAGAGCATTTGTTGGCGGCGTGCCTCGTGGTGAAGCTTGATAGCGAAACCACTCTTAAAGATGGGCGTCGTTAACGGTAGTATTTGGAGAGCGGGATCATAGTCAGACTCGTCCATATCCACACATCTTCTCTTCAGAGGTGATCGCCACGTTGTGGCGGAGGTATTTATCGTTGCTAGTTGAGGCTTTGGTAGTTCGCTGGGCAGCAGTGGTGGCACACCTGATAGCCAGTTTTGTAGCAGTGTTGCTTTGTCATTGCTGGTAGTTTCTATTGTTGTCGTTAGCGTCTGTGTTGGTGGCGATTTTGTTAATGATGGCATCAAATTTCTTCTGGTTGTTGTAGCTGTTGCTGCTGCCACAGGGATAGAGTTGTTGGAGAAATAGCTTCCAAGGTTTAACTTGTTGTTGATGCTGTATTGGCTGTTGCTGTAATAGTTGTTGCTGAGTGCCAATTATGTTAGAATTTATGAGTGTATTGGTAAAGGAGGACTGCAAAGCAGCGTTTAGTTCTTGCTGCGTTATGTGTGTGCCGAAATTGTTGGCACTTGTCGGTAAAGCAGTTCCTTTGCCCTGTGTGTGTATTTGTTCTGCACACTATTGTAGTATGCCTGTGCCGATTTCGTTGGCACTTGGCGTTCTTCTTGTGTCTCTTACTTCTCTTTTGGCGGAAAAAGGGCCGTTGCTTTTACGTTTGATTATGTTAGTGATTTTCGCTTTTTTTATGATTTTATATGTATTGGCGCCTTTTTTTTGTGGTGTTAGTGGCGTCTAATGCGCGTTTTGGCGGCACTTTCTTTGCTTGATCTTTTTCAAAGATTTTTGGGCAAATTGGGTTTTCAATTACTGTCGCTTGCAGTGGGCTTGGCGGATCATCAATCTCGGCAAGGACGGCGTCATCCTCGGGATCGAACATGTTCTCGTCCATGAGAAATCGGATCGCGGATGGACTTAGTGAACATGTCCGAGTCGGACTGGGACTATGTACTAACCGCTTGAACTAGTCGGAGCTGCCGCCGGTGGGGCAGCAAACTGACTTAGATTGGCTGGAGCAAGTGAGTCCATGGAGAGTCGTCGGGTAGCACCGTGAGCAGTCGCGTCTGGCACAGTCAAGGGTGCCGTCCTTAATTTGTCAAGTTGTGAGTTGTCAGATTCACTGGCACTGGGCATGGTGTAATTCGCTATATCACCGAGGTTGTAGCCAACCGAGATTAAGGAGGCGTCGGAGGAATCGCATTCCTCATCCGAGCGCGGCATTAACTTTTTTGTTTTTTTAATCTTAACCACTTTTTTTTTTTATTATTTATTTTTTTTGTTTTTTGTCTTAACAACTTGCCCTCCAGCAAGATACTGATTTCTTATATTTATTCTTCTCTCTTTGTTCCTAAAAATGAAAGGAGGAAAAAATTATGCTACAACGGCATCAGAGAGGCTACTAATCCTTCGAAGTGCTTCGAATTCCCATCTCTCTGCCAGTAAAATCAGGGATGAATGCGGTGTAAATGCTAGTTTGGCAACGGTAAAACGAGGTCTTCGGAGTGCTAAACACTTAAAGAGATTAAAAATAAAAAAAAAAACCTCTCAATGCTGCACGGAAGAAAGCACGACTTCGCTTTCCGCGGCATCACATGACATGGAACAAGGAGTGGAAGGCTGTGGTCTTCTCCGAAGACAAAAAGTTTAATCTCGCCGGACCGTATGGCTACAACTATTATTTCACGATATGCGCAATGAGGAATGCTTTTTGAGTCGTCATCACTCCTCTACAGGAGGCGTAATAGTTTGGGGAGCCATATCGTTTTATGGAACTTGCGAGAGGCAGTTTGTTTCCTCAAAGATGAATGCAAATGTCTACAAGACTGGAGCACAAAAGGTTTTTCCTCAGTTTTCCGAAATTTTTGGACCTATTCAATGGACGTACCAAGAAGACAAAGCCCCCATCCATACAGACCGGGTTACAAAACAGTGGATTAAGGGCCAGAATGTCAACTTGCTCGAGTGGCCGCCATACTCCCCAGACATAAATATTATCGAGAACATTTGGGGAATTTTATCCAGGAGAGTGTATGAAGGGGAAGACAATTTCAGGTCTCGGCGACCCTGGTTGAAGCGATAAAAAAAGCCTGGTCAACTATTTCACTGAGTGAAATTGAAAAATATTACGATTCCATATCAACTCGAATGTTTGAAATAATTAAGAATAAGGGTGGTCATACCAAATATTAAATAATGCAGAAATAGTGTCTTTTATTATTTAAGTTACCAAGTGCCATGAAATATTGCTATGAATAATTTTTTTTTATAGTTTTGTCGGTCAAACCTGTTCACTTGAGCCAAAAATTATGTAGATTTTCAGTTATGCTTTTGAAAATATTATAAAAAACATATAAAAACCAAACCAAACAAAAAACTTTTGTATTTTATAAATAATTGATCGTTTTACTTAACAAAATTTATTTGGTTTAAATCCGAGTGCTCGTTATGAAGATATTATATTCTAAGTCTAAAAAAGAAGTCAAACCTATTCAGTTGAGCGGCACTGGTTTTTTTGTCTTAACAACTTGCCCGCCAGCAAGATACTGACGGCGTCTTTATTTTCAAATGAACTCATTACATAGCAACATTTTTAAATTTAAATGGCAACAGAAGTTATAAATTTGTTGGCAAAAACAAATTGCAGCCCTATTACATTTAACAGCGTGTCAGTATTTTGTGATTTGCCAACATTTAAATTTATTGACAGCTCAACTATCGTGTGGCAACTTATCGGCTAAACGCGTTTTTGGTATTTTTTCTATTTATATCGATGGTTGGCAACTCACTATCAATGAACATTTCTGCTTCCCAGGTCTGGCGCAAATGTTACGAATTCGGGAGCATCACGGGCATTTTCCAAACCGCTTGCCCATCATGTATTGCCGTCGCGGGAACTATGTTTTTATGCCCCCTAATTTAGTAGGAGAGGCATCAATGACGACGTTTCCTGAGGCGGCTCTAGAAGGCTACGCATCACGTTCGGCCTGAATGCACGCTTTATTGGGCGGCCGCAGCTGTACGTTATTTCAACTCCAAAGGATTGGATGGCCTGAATGCCACGTAGGCGATAACAGGATGCTGGATGGAGCCCACTCAGAGCTGTTGGGCCATTGTATACCCCGCTTGGTTGGGCGATGCCGAAGCCGTCGCTCACCCCAGATTCAGTACATGGCTCATGGACCGTCTGGGCGTATTATCTTCTTGGTGAGTGTTTCTCTGGCGATCGCAAGAAGCGCAACTTATTGGCTCATCAGAGTTGGATAGCCTGGATAACAGGCCGGAGACGATACAGGAATGCTGGATGGAGCCCTCTCAGAGCTGCCGAGCTATTATCGACTCAAAGCCGTCGCTCATTCCAAGTTAAGCACATCATCCGGCAGGCCGTCGTAGAGCACCTCGTGGAAGCGTCGTGGATTGGAGCATCTGGCAGCGCCTCTCAAACGCCATACCATTTGCAGGTCAGCTGGCTCAAGCGGTCGCAAAAACGCATCATGTCGGCTTCTCAGTGTTGGATGGCCTGATTAACAGGCCAAAGGCCATACAGGATGCTGGATGGAGCCCACTACAGTGCCCAGATTCAATAGGTGGCTCAGTAGACCGTCTGAGCGTATCGTATTCTTGGTGAGTGTTAATCTGTAACTTGCAAGCAGAGTGTTTGACTTTATGTTTCAATTTGCAGAACAACGCATTAGCCTCGTAGTCTGGAAAACATCCAGTGGCGTCTCTCACACGCCACACAACCCGTCCAGGAATCGCATTAATCGACTGAAAGCGGTCGCTTATTCCAAAATGGACACATAATCCAGTAGGCCGACGTGGAGCATATCGTCTTGGAAACGTCGTTGATTCGCACATCTGGCATTGTCTCTCACACGCTACCCCACTTTGCAGGATCTGGAAGTCGGTCGTAGCAGCATATTAATCGTTTTGCCGGTCGTAGCAGCGTATTAGTCGACTCATTCCAAAATGGACACATCATCCAGTAGGCCGACCTGGAGCATCTCGTCTTGGATACCTCGTGGATTGGAACATCTGGCGGCGTCTCTCCACGCCACACCACTCGTCCAGAATTTGCAGGTCAGCCGACCTTGACAGTCGCAACAACGCATCATGTCGGCTCCACAGAGCTGGATGGCCAGATTAACAGGCTGGAGATGATACAGGATGCTGGATAGAGCCCACTCAGAGCTGCTGAGCTATTGCATATTTCGTTTGGGTGGGCGATGCCAAATCCGTCGCTCACCCCAAATTTAGCCCAGTAGACCGTCGTGGGCGTATCGTCTTCTTGGTGAGTATGTGTCTGTAACTTTTAAGCAGAGCTTTTGATTTTATGTTTTTAATTTGCAGAACGACACATCAGCCTCGTAGTTTGGAATACATCTAGTGGCGTCTCTCACACGCCACACAACTTATCCAGGAATTTCAGGTCAGTTTGTCTTGGCGGTCGTAGCAGCGTATTAATCGATTCAAAGCGGTCGCTCATTCCAAAATGAACACATCATCCAGTAGGCTGACGTGGAGCATTAGGTTTTGGAAACGTCGTGGGTTGGCACATCTGGCAGTGTCTCTCACACGCAACCCCATTCTTGCAGGATTTGGAGGTCAGTGACTTTGGCAGTCGCAGAAACGGATCATGTCGGCTCCTCAACGTTGGATGGCCTGATTAACAGGCCGAAGCCGATACTGGATGCTGGATGGAGCCCACTACAGAGCCCAAATTCAATACGTGGCTCAGTAGACCGTCGTAGGCGTATCGTCTTCTTGATAAGTATGTATTTGCCCAGGAATTACAGGTCAGCTGACTTTAACCGCCGTAGAGACGCATCATATCGGTTCCTCTTAGTTGAGTGGCCCTTCATGCCGATCTCTTCAAGTTTTAATATCTGGTCAATTTGACCGTCGTGGGCGTATCATCTTTGTTTGCAGTACAGTACGTCAGCGTAAACGATCGGATCATCCAGCGGCGTCTCTCGGATTGCAGAATGGATACATCACCCAGAAGGCCGTCATGGAGTATTTCGTCTTGTTGGTGAGCATGTAATTAAAATTAAATTTTGTGACCTTATTTGCAGGACAGCACGGAAGCGTCGTGTATTGAACATCTGGTGGCGTTTCCCAGACGCCACGCAACTTGGCAACTTGCAGATCAGCAGTCTTTGCCAGTCATAGCAGCGCTTTTAATCGACTTTTAAGGAGTTTGATGGCCTGAAGCCGGACGCAGTACAGGATATTATTTTATTTTTATTTTTTTTTTTTTTGTTTTTTTAGGTGGACGATGCTATGGCTGCAAGTCTCTCCGAGTTTAGTATTGGCCCAGTAGGTCATCTTGGGAGTTTGCGTTTCCCATGTCTTCATCCAGAACGCGTTGTTGAAGTTGTGGCTGCTGTCGATGTGACAGTGATTGCAAGTTTGCTGGCTCCTCAGTTGATGTCGTTAGCGGCTGTTGTGGCTACGTTGATAGAGCCTGTGGAGCTTGTATTGGCAGAGCCTTGTTGGATTAATCGCTGGATCGTTGGGGGCTGGCCCTGGATGCGGACCACTAGCTCTTCGCGAGTGATTTGTCCGCTTCTATACATTCTTCTATACGAATTTATACTTGATTCTCCGAATCTTCTAGGAGGCGGCCAATTTGATTGCTGGATCTTTTGCCTGGCCTGGATTTCGGCCAGTCTCTCATTTTCTCGCCTCTCCAGCTCTTCTTCTTGAATCCGGAGGAGTGTTGGAATTTGCTCCCTGTCTTGCATCATTTGTTGTGCCTGTTGTGTTTGCCGAGCGGTGTGTTGTATGTGAGATGGCTGTCCTTGGCGCTGTTGAGGCCCATGTTGTTGCTGCAGCGATCGTATGTGTTGTTGTATTTGCTGCGTGTAGGGGGACCCTCTGTAAGCGCTGCGGCTCAAATGCACCCATTTGCATAGCAGATTTCGTGCCTCAGAATTTGCGTGTCTGGTCAAGGAGCTTGCTTGAGAGAGGTATGTTTGGTTCCCTCCAACAGCTGTCGTTGTCAGCGCAGCGGCACACATGATCACTGTATCGTTGGCGTATATTGATAATAGCATGTGGCTTTTTTGGGCTCCATAATATGTGCTTCTCATGAGTGAGGGAAGGGGCATATCCGAGGAGTATAATGTATACAATATCGGGCCCAGTTGTTACGGAACTGCTTGTTTCTCATTGGGCCGCGCCGGCGGGCTCATCGGATTCTCCGGGTGTAGTTCCATCCCTGGCGCGCAGTCAACAACAAAGCTACACTTCTGTACCAAAACAGACTCACACAACACTATTCAAAAATAAACCACATAATCGATAACCAATATTCGGATCTGCTAACTCATGAACAAAATAAACAGCTGTAACAACTATGAAAATGTAAACAACAAAGGTGAGACACTCAATATAAATTAACAAAAAAACAAAATGGCCTACATTAGCCCGTGCCAACCCTCATGCCCACTCTCCCCAACAATTTACTTTAGCCGGACATGCTTTCGTTCAGTATGTGCGTATAATTGGTTGCGTCTTCTTAAAATTTATAACATTATAATCGTCGCTTATGGCTTTTATCTTTGCAGCTATTTAGAATCTCATGCAAGTGGACATTTCGTTAACTTCACAGGTGCGTATAATGGTTTATGTATTCTTATAATTATTGGCATTAATATTTCTTTTATTTCTTTCTAATTTGCACGAGGTCTCCATTCAGATAAATAAGAATTCATGCACGTGCTATTAATATTGCTAATCGTTGCGACGATTTAGGAACAATAAAAACAATAAAAACGATAATCAGTCGTGCAACAGGTAGGTGATATAGATCTGTATTAAATCGCTCAATTCTACCTTACCCTACCTAAAGAGCTCTCAGGGGTGATAAGGGGCGATTTAAATGGATAATTCCAATTAGGTAAGTATGTGAGCTTAGTTCGCGCAAGTGTTAATTTTAAATTTTTATATTTTACAGGCGCAGATGGATCACCTTTGGAGTTTCCCTCACCGTTCGCACTCTAAAGTGAAGCTCGGCGTAAGTGCCTATGTATGTATAGATATAATTTATAAATACAAAAAAAAAAAAAAACTAAATTTAACGACAAAAAAATTCTGCTTCTTTTCAGGGTGTACGATCAGGAGTCTTCATCAATTCTCTGCCAAGGGCCCGAACGAGGATGGGCAAAAAGGAAACGGACTCACTCGGGGGATGTGGGTGTGGTGTCGCCTGTGGCCGCTTCTTCGTTGTTGTCGCCCGGTCGTTGGTGGCTCGTCTCGTCGCTTTCAGGGTTGCGCCGACGCTTGGCTGGTGGCGTCGCGCATATGGCTGGTGTGCGCCGCTGAGCCGAATACTGGGCTTTGGTATGTTTCGTGGGCCTCTCTGCTGCGAGACTGGTCCCTTTGTGGCCGGAGCCGTTAATTTTTATTTTTTTATTGGTTCGTCTCTCGTCGCACTTAAGTTTCAAGTTTTATTTTATATATATATATTTTTTATATATATTTTGGGACTTGAGCGGTTTAATTTACATATACCTATTAAATTGCAGAAAAAACAAAACCAAAATTTTCATTTGTCTGTTAAGTTATTTGTTATTACGCGCTGGCTTAACTTGCCAGATGAAAATAAATTCGAATCTTTTGAGCCGATATGCAATATACAAATTTCATGCTCACTTCGAGCTGGCACGCCCGCCGTTAACCGTTGATCAAATCAAATCCCTCTCCATTTGGGCAGCAACATCATCGGTGCCGAATTTTGGAACACGCATACATTGGCGAGGCGGCACCGTTGCTGCCCATCTGCACAGCTGCATTTTCTTGGGTCAATGGCCCAAATGACAAATGACTCTTTAAGAGTGAACCGGGCGGCCAATAGCAATCGTCGCTCTTGGCGCCGTGGATCGCAAGTCTGGCGTTGCCACCCTTCAAAAATTTGGGCTCCACCGTGGGCCCAGCTTCACTCCGCATACTCTGACCATATGACAAAAAGTATCGGCGTGGCCGAAAATATCGCACGCAACCAACTAAGTACACCCTCGGTGCTGCCGATAACGTCAAATGCAACAAAGTATACTGCCCTGTGGAACGCCGGCAGCAATTCGACCTGTTCTGGATTTGACACCGTCATTGCAGTTTACCACAATAGTGCGCTCATTTAGGTAGTTTTCGAGTATCGTATAAAGGTTTGATGGTAACAATTTTATCAGTTTATTCAGTAGGCCGTTATGCCACACGCGGTCAAAGGCTTCTGAGATGTCTATATAGACCGCTGAGCAAAACTGCCGCTCTTCGTATGCGCGTAATATAAATTGCATAACGCTGGCCAGTTGCTGCTCAGTGCCGTGCTCTCGCCTGAAGCCGAACTGATGGCTGGGCATTGCCTTGGAAAAATCCTGGACTTCGAAGTGCCTTGACATTAAGAGCTTCTTAAAGATCTTTGATAGGCCCGATAAAAGGCTGATTGGGCGATAAGATGTTGCTTCAGCTGTGTTTTTCCCAGGCTTGGGAATCATAGCTATGCCAGCGTGTTTCCATTTGTTTTGGAAGTGCCCTAGCGAGACTAGAGTTGTAAATTAGCAGTAGGTATAACAGTGCTTTTTGTGGTAAGAGTTGGATAATTCTGTTATCTATTTTATCTTCTCCAGGTGACTTTGTTTGCTTAGTGCATTGATTTTCAGCTTAAGCTTGTTAAGCGTGATTGGCTTGATTGTCTGCTGTAGCTCCAGGTCTGTTTGCTGCTGGTGAAGCTTCTGCTGCTTCAGTTGCCTCCATACTTCGCGAATTTCTGCACGCTCCTCATCCGAGTTTGAGAAGTTGAGAAGTGGGCTGAAACGTTCTTCAAGGTGAGCGCCGAAGGCCTTCGCTTTTTCGGCAGTCGTTTTTTTCCACATTGCGTTTGAATTTGACGCATTCCTCGCGCCTCCGTTGCCAGCATTAGCCTGTGGCAGTTTTATTGACCAGTTTGGCAGCTGCTGTTTTTTTATTTTGTTGGTAAGTCGCCATAGCTTTTGCATTGCATAGCGATCATGAGTGTCAATGTCCACAAGCATTTTATTAATGTTCTTGTGTTTCAGCTGTGCAGCCCTGTATTGCTGTCTTGCCTCTGGAGTTCGTGTCGCCATTAAGATCTGTTTGCATCTCTGTTTCAGTCCAGTTCAAGTTCGTGCCTATGGCGGTCCCGGTGACTATGTTGGTTTCCATGATGCCTGTGTGCTGCGGCATTTGCAGCTATTTGGATGTTGCGTACGAGGATATCCACTGCAACGTCGATGTCCGTGCCACTGCGGATCTCGGTGTTTAGGTGGATTTGCTGGTCAAGAACATCCTGAAATCGATGCGTATTGGCCCCAGAAGGTAGCAGTCTGCGATTATCAGTTTGAGTTGTAAAATTTTGGTTTCTGTTAGTAATCAGATCAACTCTTTAAGGCAGGTGGTCTTCGTCCAAGTCTGTTGAGGAGTGGATTCGAAGCCGATTGCTATCTAAGCCACCGTGGACTGCAAGGTCAATTGCAGAAGGTCTTTTCCTTTTATCGTACGGGTAATGCGTCGCTCCACCGGTGTGAATTGCTTCGAAGAGCGCTTTGCCTCTGTGACAGGCTCGCGGATTGCCCCACCATGAGTGCTGGGCGTTCCAATCGCCGCAGAATATAAAGTTAGATGGAGCCGGATCGATGAAGTTGTCAAAATGTTTGAATAGTTTTGTGAAGTGTTCGACGGACCATTTGAACACTGGTGGGCAATAGATTGGGGCAATTATAATTATTTCCCTTTTATTCTCATTTTCAAGCAACAGGGCAATAGGCATTCTCTGGAGAAAGTTCGCGTTAATTGGCTGGAGGGCAGCGTGCCTGATATCGTTACGCACAAAGATAGCGACCCCCCCCTCTACAATGCGTGCGTGCATGGGTTACACTGTACGTGTGGTAGCCTGCTACGCTTTGTATGTTAGTGCCGGACGTGACCCGAGTTTCGATGACCATCATGATTTGTATGGACTCGCGTCGCATGTACAGCTCGAGTTCCGTCATTTTGTTGCCTATGCCACATGCATTCCAGAAAGCAATTTTAAATGGGTTGCTATTTTGGCTGCAATTGTGGATGGTCAGATGTGAATTTACTGTACTGATTGGCGCAGGACTGCGGACATTTTCAGCGGAAGAAGTAGTGGCTAAAGTCGATTGAGCGGCGGTACTACCGTGTGGATGACTATACATAATTGATGGATTCATTGGCGATGGCAGCTTCCATAGAGCAGTCCATTTGGACTGTTTTGCTGTCTGATTGTTGTTGAGCTGTGTTTTACAACACATGATTATTGGTATTTGTGCTATTGTTTTTATAATGAGTGGCAATTGCAAAAGGACATTTAATAAAATATATATGACATGTGCTCGCCTGTGCATTTTATGCAGACGAAGAACCGCCTGCAATAGTTTTTCGTGTGACCAAAGACCAAAGGCACCGATGGCACTGCGCTGGATCTCGAGGTTTTGCTTGCCGCTCGACCGTGATGGATTGACTGCCCAGCTCTTTCAGGTTGAGGATGCCTTCATGGCTCCCATTCGCTTTGGTCTGCAGTTCGGTTTCAAACAAATTTAGCGGCCTGCCTGTGAACCGGTGTTTTTTGACTCGGATGAAACGAGTGACAAAGCCCATTTGTTCTAGATTGGCCGCTAGCCATTCACAGGTTGTGGAGTGGTGGATATGCCGTAAGATTATGCGATATTCCTTTTCGCTGCATAGTTGGTGCGTATGCAGATTAGTGCCTTCTTCAGCCAGGGCGGTCAGAATCTTCACATTGGACACGTAGTCCACTGCCAGAGGTTACCTTTGACGAGAATTTTCGCACACATGGATGGCTTTACAGTTTATCCAGAAGTGGGATAATTGCGGGCACCATTGTTTCTCTTTCGATTCCTGCTTCAGACTCTCTTCCTGATGTTGTTGCGATTGTTGTTGTTGTCGCGGTTGTAGTTGCTGGCATTTCTGTGGCTGCTGCCCTCTTTGTACTGTCTGATGTCCGTGTTGCTCTGCCTCACTTTAGAGCATTTGTTGGCGGCGTGCCTCGTGGTGAAGCTTGATAGCGAAACCACTCTTAAAGATGGGCGTCGTTAACGGTAGTATTTGGAGAGCGGGATCATAGTCAGACTCGTCCATATCCACACATCTTCTCTTCAGAGGTGATCGCCACGTTGTGGCGGAGGTATTTATCGTTGCTAGTTGAGGCTTTGGTAGTTCGCTGGGCAGCAGTGGTGGCACACCTGATAGCCAGTTTTGTAGCAGTGTTGCTTTGTCATTGCTGGTAGTTTCTATTGTTGTCGTTAGCGTCTGTGTTGGTGGCGATTTTGTTAATGATGGCATCAAATTTCTTCTGGTTGTTGTAGCTGTTGCTGCTGCCACAGGGATAGAGTTGTTTTTCCATTGCTGGAGAAATAGCTTCCAAGGTTTAACTTGTTGTTGATGCTGTATTGGCTGTTGCTGTAATAGTTGTTGCTGAGTGCCAATTATTTTAGAATTTATGCGTGTATTGGTAGAGGGGGACTGCAAAGCAGCGTTTAGTTCTTGCTGCGTTATGTGTGTGCCGAAATAGTTGGCACTTGTCGGTAAAGCAGCTCCTTTGCCCTGTGTGTGTATTTGTTCTGCACACTATTGTATGCGTGTGCTGATTTCGTTGGCACTTGTCGTTCTTCTTGTGTCTCTATCTTCCCCTTTTTTTTCGGGAAAAGAGCCGTTGCTTTTACATTTGATTATGTTAGTGATTTTCGCTTTTTTTATGATTTTATATGTATTGGCGCCTTTTTTTTGTGGTTTTATTGGCGTCTAATGCGCGTTTTGGCGGCACTTTCTTTGCTTGATCTTTTTCACAGATTTTTGGGCAAATTGGGTTTTCAATTACTGTCGTTTGCAGTGGGCTCGGCGGAGCATCAATCTCGGCAAGGACGGCGTCATCCTCGGGATCGAACATGTTCTCGTCCATGAGAAATCGGATCGCGGATGGACTTAGTGGACATGTCCGAGTCGGACTGGGACAGGAGAGAGACTATTTACTAACCGCTTGAACTAGTCGGAGCTGCCGCCGGTGGGGCAGCAACCTGACTTAGATTGGCTGGAGCAAGTGAGTCCTTGGAGAGTCGTCGGGTAGCACCGTGAGCAGTCGCGTCTGGCACAGTCAAGGGTGCCGTCCTTAGTTTGTCAAGTTGTGAGTTGTCAGATTCACTGGCACTGAGCATGGTGTAATTCGCTATATCACCGAAGTTGTAGCCAACCGAGATTAAGGAGGCGTCGGAGGAATCACATTCCTCATCCGAGCGCGTCGGTCACTTTTTTTTTTTTAATCTTAACCACTTTTTTTTTTATTTGTTTTTTTTTTGTCTTAACAACTTGCCCTCCAGCAAGATACTGATTTCTTATATTTATGCTTCTCTCTTTGTTCCTAAAAAGGAAAGGAAGAAAAAATTCTGCTACAACGGCATCAGAGAGGCTACTAATCCTTCGAAGTGCTTCGAATTCCCATCTCTCTGCCAGTAAAATCAGGGATGAATGCGGTGTAAATGCTAGTTTGGCAACGGTAAAACGAGGTCTTCGGAGTGCTAACTTTGTGCGACTTCGCTTCGCGCGGGATTACATGACATGGAACAAGGAGTGGAAGGCTGTGGACTCGGCGACCTTGGTTGAAGCGATTAAAAAAGCCTAGTCAACTATTTCACTGAGTGAAATTGAAAAATATTACGATTCCATATCAACTCGAATGTTTGAAATAATTAAGAATAAGGGTGGTCATACCAAATATTAAATAATGCAGAAATAGTGCCTTTTATTATTTAAGTTACCAAGTGCCATGAAATATTGCTGTGAATCGTTGCGACGATTTAGGAACAATAAAAACAATAAAAACGATAATCAGTCGTGCAACAGGTAGGTGATATAGATCTGTATTAAATCGCTTAATTATACCTTACCCTACCTAAAGAGCTCTCAGGGGTGGTAGGGGCGATTTAAATGGATAATTCCAATTAGGTAAGTATGTGAGCTTAGTTCGCGCAAGTGTTAATTTTAAATTTTTATATTTTACAGGCACAGATGCATCACCTTACGAGTTTCCCTCACCGTTCGCACTCTAAAGTGAAGCTCGGCGTAAGTGCCTATGTATGTATAGATATAATTTATAAATACAAAGGAAAAAACTAAATTTAACGACAAAAAAATCTGCTCCTTTTCAGGGAGTACTTTTCAGGAGTCTTCATCATTTCTCTGCCAAGGGCCCGAACGAGGATGGGCAAAAAGAGAAAAGGACTCCTTTGGCTTCAGGTCCCACACCGCTGAAGTCTTATATGGCACGAGTAGGTAGCTCATCATCGCGCAGCGTGTAGTGGAATCCGAGAAGCACGACGGAAGTAGAGAATATCCATAAACATGAGAAGTTTTCTTGTAGAGGTTGATGACGGTAAGTCACGTTCGCATGATGGCGAAACGGTCGCGACCGTTTATCGTAGCCTGGTGGTAGCCGCCACGAATAACAAAATAACAAAATAGCTTGTGATAGAATGTGATATAAGGGTAGGTATTACTAGAGTTTGTTTAATGTTTTCTATTTGTTTTGTCCCACTCTGTGCTAATATTTGGAATGTGCTGGCCGTAGTTAAATGAGCTTCGGAGACAGGTAACCCAGGACGATATAAAGCCGATCCTGCGCCGCACCTGTCACACAGCATATCCTAAGGGTGCCCAGAAGTGCGACAGAAACCAAATAGCCTTCAAGGTAGCGTTCTTTGAATACCGTTCGTCAGTCAAACTGATGAACTGAGCAGTTGACGAATGCTTAAGTGTTGTCCACTGTCCAGATTATGCGTAGATTAGTTAGCCTGTGTTAGGATTTGTCTTCTCTCGCCCAAGTATTTGAAATTAATTAGAAAGAAAAAAATTTATTTTTGTGAGTGTTTTTGTGGTCGATGTGTATTAATTTATTATTATTTATTAGTAAGCTTGTTAGTGGGTGTTTATTTATTTATTAATTTATTAGGAATATTGGTAAAGTTATTTTTATAAGGGTAGTAAGCCTTGTAGAAGAGAGGGGTACAGTTCTCAAAAGGGATAAGTATGGCTGAGAAACAGGTGTCTGATTGGGCTTCTGACGCTGATGGGGCGTCGGCTCTGCCACCGCCGCGACCGGTTGGGGGGCTGGTGCGAACGCCAATGAATTTCCGGGGATTTCCAGAGAGACAGATCCCGGAAGAGGGTCACCTAGTAGACTTGGAGAAAGAATTGGCGCAACAAGATAAACCTCCACGGAACCTGGAGTTCTCAAAAGCCCCGAAAGACTCAGTGCTCAAGTTGGCGGCAAACGCGGCGATCGCTCAGGCCCACCAAACGTATCGGCATGCTCTGCCATCTGGTATCAGCGAGTCCATCCGCGAGGAGATGCAAGCTGGCTTCATGGAAATGATGAAGGGCATCATTGATGTGCTCAGGCCGCCAGGGAGCCAAAACGCCGAGACTAACACTGCGCCGAAGCCGCCGAGACATGTCGAGCCGGGACCACAAACAGGCGCCATCCCGAAAGAACGGGAAGTGCCCAGTTTACGTTGCAGATGCTCAGTCGAGCCAATAACCGCCATTGCCGAGTAGAGGACCGGAGAGCGGATGATTTACAACCGGAGGACGCGTACGCCAATGTACGAGAAATGGCGTACATGAAGCTCGAGCGGTGAAACTTCAAGTTTGACGGCAAGGACGCGATGAATTCGGACGAGGACTTCGTATTCCGCCTGGAGTTCCTGCAGAGGCAGTCTCAATGCCCGTGGAAGGAGGTCCTTCCTAGTCGCCGCAAAAGAAACACGCAAGGAGGCAATTAAGAGGCAATCGTTGCGACGATTTAGGAACAATGTGCGCACACAAATACTTAAAGCTGAGTATGTTACGATAATCAGTCGTGCAACAGGTAGGTGATATAGATCTGTATTAAATCGCTCAATTCTACCTTACCCTACCTAAAGAGCTCTCAGGGGTGGTAAGGGGCGATTTAAATGGATAATTCCAATTAGGTAAGTATGTGAGCTTAGTTCGCGCAAGTGTTAATTTTAAATTTTTATAGTTTACAGGCGCAGATGGATCACCTTTGGAGTTTCCCTCACCGTTCGCACTCTAAAGTGAAGCTCGGCGTAAGTGCCTATGTATGTATAGATATATTTTATAAATACAAAAAAAGAAAACTAAATTTAACGACAAAAAAAATCTGCTTCTTTTAGGGAGTACGATCAAGAGTCTTCATCAATTCTCAGCCAAGGGCCCGAACAAGGATGGGCAAAAAGGAAACGGACTCACTCGGGGGATGTGGGTGTGGTGTCGCCTGTGGCCGCTTCTTCGCTGTTGGCCCCCGGTCGTTGGTGGCTCGTCTCGTCGCCTTCAGGGTTGCGCCGACGCTTGGCTGGCGGCGTCGCGCATATGGCTGGTGTGCGCCGCTGAGCCGAATACTGGCCTTTGGTATGTTTCGTGGGCCTCTCTGCTGCGAGACTGGTCCCTTTGTTGCCAGAGCCGTTAATTTTTATTTTTTTATTGGTTCGTCTCTCGTCGCACTTAAGTTTCAAGTTTTATTTTATATATATATATATTTTTTATATATATTTTGTGACTTGAGCGGTTTAATTTACTTATACCTATTAAATTGCAGAAAAAACATAACCAAAATTTTCATTTGTCTGTTAAGTTATTTGTTATTACGCGCTGGCTTAACTTGCCAGATGAAAATAAATTCGAATGTTTTGAGCCGATATGCAATATACAAATTTTATGCTCACTTCGAGCTAGCACGCCCGCCGTTAACCGTTGATCAAATCGAAATCCCTCTCCATTTGGGCAGCAACATCATTGGTGCCGAATTTTGGAACACGCATACCTTGGCGAGGCGGCACCGTTGCTGCCCATCTGCACAGCTGCAGTTTTTTGGGTCAATGGTCCAAATGACGGCCAAGGGCATATCCAAGGGCATGGGATCCACTCTCCTCATAGTCTCTTTAAGAGCGAACCGGGCGGCCAATAGCAATCGTCGCTCTTGGCGCCGTGGATCGCAAGTCTGGCGTTGCCACCCTTCAAAAATTTGGGCTCCACCGTGGGCCCAGCTTCACTCCGCATACTCTGACCATATGACAAAAAGTATCGGCGTGGCCGATAATATCGCACGCAACCAACTAAGTACACCCTCGGTGCTGCCGATAACGTCAAATGCAACAAAGTACACTGCCCTGTGGAACGCCGGCAGCAATTCGACCTGTTCTGGATTTGACACCGTCATTGCAGTTTACCACAATAGTGCGCTCATTTAGGTAGTTTTCGAGTATCGTATAAAGGTTTGATGGTAACAATTTTATCAGTTTATTCAGTAGGCCGTTATGCCACACGCGGTCAAAGGCTTCTGAGATGTCTATATAGACCGCTGAGCAAAACTGCCGCTCTTCGTATGCGCGTAATATAAATTGCATAACGCTGGCCAGTTGCTGCTCAGTGCCGTGCTCTCGCCTGAAGCCGAACTGATGGCTGGGCATTGCCTTGGAAAAATCCTGGGCTTCGAAGTGCCTTGACATTAAGAGCTTCTCAAAGATCTTTGATAGGCCCGATAAAAGGCTGATTGGGCGATAAGATGTTGCTTCAGCTGTGTTTTTCCCAGGCTTGGGAATCATAGCTATGCCAGCGTGTTTCCATTTGTTTTGGAAGTGCCCTAGCCTGAGACTAGAGTTGTAAATTAGCAGTAGGTATAACAGTGCTTTTTGTGGTAAGAGTTGGATAATTCTGTTATCTATTTTATCTTCTCCAGGTGACTTTGTTTGCTTAGTGCATTGATTTTCAGCTTAAGCTTGTAAAGCGTGATTGGCTTGATTGTCTGCTGTAGCTCCTGGTCTGTTTGCTGCTGCTGATTTATTTATCGTTGCTAGTTGAGGCTTTGGTAGTTCGCTGGGCAGCAGTGGTGGCACACCTGATAGCCAGTTTTGTAGCAGTGTTGCTTTGTCATTGCTGGTAGTTTCTATTGTTGTCGTTAGCGTCTGTGTTGGTGGCGATTTTGTTAATGATGGCATCAAATTTCTTCTGGTTGTTGTAGCTGTTGCTGCTGCCACAGGGATAGAGTTGTTGGAGAAATAGCTTCCAAGGTTTAACTTGTTGTTGATGCTGTATTGGCTGTTGCTGTAATAGTTGTTGCTGAGTGCCAATTATGTTAGAATTTATGAGTGTATTGGTAAAGGAGGACTGCAAAGCAGCGTTTAGTTCTTGCTGCGTTATGTGTGTGCCGAAATTGTTGGCACTTGTCGGTAAAGCAGTTCCTTTGCCCTGTGTGTGTATTTGTTCTGCACACTATTGTAGTATGCCTGTGCCGATTTCGTTGGCACTTGGCGTTCTTCTTGTGTCTCTTACTTCTCTTTTGGCGTTTCCCAGACGCCACGCAACTTGGCAACTTGCAGATCAGCAGTCTTTGGCAGTCATAGCAGCGCTTTTAATCGACTTTTTAGGAGTTTGATGGCCTGAAACCGGACGCAATACACGATATTATTTTTATTTTATTTTTTTTAGGTGGACGATGCTATGGCCGCAAGTCTCTCCGAGTTTAGTATTGGCCCAGTAGGTCATCTTGGGAGTTTGCGTTTTCCATGTCTTCATCCAGAACGCGTTCCAGCGACTCGCAGACTTTCTGAAGACCATGATCTAGCAGTGTTTCATTGCTGTCAGCCATTTTTAACTGGCCTTGTTGAAGTAGTGGCTGCTGTCGATGTGGCAGTGATTGCAAGTTTGCTGGCTCCTCAGTTGATGTCGTTAGCGGCTGTTGTGACTACCTTGATAGAGCCTGTGGAGTTTGTATTGGCAGAGCTTGCTGTGCTTGTTGATCCTGCTGCCTCGCGTCCACATAGCCTGGTAGGATTAATCGCTGGAGTGGGGGCTGGCCCTGGATGCGGACCACTAGCTCTTCGCGAGTGATTTGTCCGCTTCTATACATTCTTCTATACGAATTTATACTTGATTCTCCGTATCTTCGGCGGCCAATTTGATTGCTGGACCCTTTGCCTGACCTGGATTTCGGCCAGTCTCTCATTTTCTCGCCTCTCAAGCTCTTCTTCTTGAAGCCGGAGAAGTGTTGGAATTTGCTCCCTGTCTTGCATCATTTGTTGTGCCTGTTGTGTTTGCCGAGCGGTGTATTGTATGTGAGATGGCTGTCCTTGGCGCTGTTGAGGCCCATGTCGTTGCTGCAGCGATCGTATGTGTTGTTGTATTTGCTGCGTGTAGGGGGACCCTCTGTAAGCGCTGCGGCTCAAATGGGTGCGATAGCAGATTTCGTGCCTCAGAATTTGCGTGTCTGGTCAAGGAGCTTGCTTGAGAGAGGTATGTTTGGTTCCCTCCAACAGCTGTCGTTGGCAACGCAGCGGCACACATGATCACTGTATCGTCGGCGTATATTGATAATAGCATGTGGATTTTTTGGGCTCCATAATATGTGCTTCGCATGAGTGATGGAAGGGGCATATCCGAGGAGTATAATGTATACAATATTGGGCCCAGTTGTTACGGAACTGCTTGTTTCTCAGTGGGCCGCGCCGGCTGGCTCATCGGATTCTCTGGGTGTAGTCCCATCCCTGGCCCGCAGTCCGTTTCTCTGTACCTTCATTTATATCGTATTTATTTTTCTTTGATTACACACCGACTTCAAAGAAGCCGAGTGCTTCTTCACCATTGGGCGCCATATTGTTACGGAACTGCTTGTTTCTCAGTGGGCCGCGCCGGCGGGCTCATCGGATTTTTCGGGTGTAGTTCCATCCCTGGCGCGCAGTCCGGACAATCGATAACAACAAAGCTACACTTCTGTAGCAAAACAGACTCACACAACTAACTAACCAATATTCGGATCTGCTAACTCATGAACAAAATAAACAGCTGTAACAACTATGAAAATGTAAACAACAAAGGTGAGACATTTAATATAAATTAACAAAAAGACACTATTTATCAACCTTACTCTTCCAGATCGGGCCCCGGTTCCGGACCCAGCGTACCCGCTCCACCATGAGACGATCACCTACACTCGTCTCCTTCATTTTGGCCACTAAATGGCCTACATTAGCCAGTGTCGACCCTCATGCCCACTCTCCCCAACAATTTACTTTAGCCGGACATGCTTTCTTTCAATAAGTGCGTATAATTGGTTGCGTCTTCTTAAAATTTATAACATTATAATCGTCGCTTATGGCGTTTATCTTTGCAGCTATTTAGAATCTCATGCAAGTGGATATTTCGTTAACTTCACAGGTGCGTATAATGGTTTATGTATTCTTATAATTATTCGCATTAATATTTCTTTTATTTCTTTCTAATTTGCACGAGGTCTCCATTCAGATAAATAAGTATTCATGCACGTGAACATTTCTTCCCCGGGTGCGTATTAATGTTGCACATATTTATACTTATGGACAAAGTGTATAAATTCCTAAATTTTTCTCTTATCTTATAGAATTAATTTTTTTTTTATTTTAACACCACTAAATGGAACAGGCGACGAAATACTACAAAGATATTGCTAGTCGCCGCAAAAGAAACACGCAAGGAGGCAATTTAGAGGCAATCGTTGCGACGATTTAGGAACAATAAAAACAATAAAAACGATAATCAGTCGTGCAACAGGTAGGTGATATAGATCTGTATTAAATCGCTTAATTATACCTTACCCTACCTAAAGAGCTCTCAGGGGTGGTAGGGGCAATTTAAATGGATAATTCCAATTAGGTAAGTATGTGAGCTTAGTTCACGCAAGTGTTAATTTTAAATTTTTATATTTTACAGGCGCAGATGGATCACCTTTGGAGTTTCCCTCACCGTTCGCACTCTAAAGTGAAGCTCGGCGTAAGTGCCTATGTATGTAGATATAATTTATAAATACAAAGGAAAAAACTAAATTTACCGACAAAAAAAATCTGCTCCTTTTTAGGAAGTACTTTTCAGGAGTCTTCATCATTTCTCTGCCAAGGGCCCGAACGAGGATGGGCAAAAAGAAAACGGACTCACTCGGGGGATGTGGGTGTGGTGTCGCCTGTGGCCGCTTCTTCGTTGTTGTCGCCCGGTCGTTGGTGGCTCGTCTCGTCGCCTTCAGGGTTGCGCCGACGCTTGGCTGGTGGCGTCGCGCATATGGCTGGTGTGCGCCGCTGAGCCGAATACTGGGCTTTGGTATGTTTCGTGGGCCTCTCTGCTGCGAGACTGGTCCCTTTGTTGCCAGAGCCGTTAATTTTTATTTTTTTATTGGTTCGTCTCTCGTCGCACTTAAGTTTCAAGTTTTATATTATATATATATATATTTTTTATATATATTTTGTGACTTGAGCGGTTTAATTTACTTATACTTATTAAATTGCAGAAAAAACAAAACCAAAATTTTCATTTGTCTGTTAAGTTATTTGTTATTACGCGCTGGCTTAACTTGCCAGATGAAAATAAATTCGAATCTTTTGAGCCGATATGCAATATACAAATTTTATGCTCACTTCGAGCTAGCACGCCCGCCGTTAACCGTTGATCAAATCGAAATCCCTCTCCATTTGGGCAGCAACATCATCGGTGCCGAATTTTGGAACACGCATACATTGGCGAGGCGGCACCGTTGCTGCCCATCTGCACAGCTGCATTTTTTTGGGTCAATGGCCCAAATGACGGCCAAGGGCATATCCAAGGGCATGCGATCCACTCTCCTCATAGTCTCTTTAAGAGCGAACCGGGCGGCCAATAGCAATCGTCGCTCTTGGCGCCGTGGATCGCAAGTCTGGCGTTGCCACCCTTCAAAAATTTGGGCTCCACCGTGGGCCCAGCTTCACTCCGCATACTCTGACCATATGACAAAAAGTATCGGCGTGGCCGATAATATCGCACGCAACCAACTAAGTACACCCTCGGTGCTGCCGATAACGTCAAATGCAACAAAGTACACTGCCCTGTGGAACGCCGGCAGCAATTCAACCATATTTTGGATTTGACACCATCATTGCAGTTTACCACAATAGTGCGCTCATTTAGGTAGTTTTCGAGTAGCCGAACTGATGGCTGAGCATTGCCTTGGAAAAATCCTGGGCTTCGAAGTGCCTTGACATTAAGAGCTTCTCAAAGATCTTTGATAGGCCCGATAAAAGGCTGATTGGGCGTTAAGATGTTGCTTCAGCTGTGTTTTTCCCAGGCTTGGGAATCATAGCTATGCCAGCGTGTTCCCATTTGTTTTGGAAGTGCCCTAGCCTGAGACTAGAGTTGTAAATTAGCAGTAGGTATAACAGTGCTTTTTGTGGTAAGAGTTGGATAATTCTGTTATCTATTTTATCTTCTCCAGGTGACTTTGTTTGCTTAGTGCATTGATTTTCAGCTTAAGCTTGTAAAGCGTGATTGGCTTGATTGTCTGCTGTAGCTCCTGGTCTGTTTGCTGCTGCTGAAGCTTCTGCTGCTTCAGTTGCCTCCATTCTTCGCGAATTTCTGCACGCTCCTCATCCGAGTTTGAGAAGTTGAGAAGTGGGCTGAAACGTTCTTCAAGGTGAGCGCCGAAGGCCTTCGCTTTTTTGGCAGTTGTTTTTTTCCACATTGCGTTTGAATTTGACGCATTCCTCGCGACTCCGTTGCCAGCATTAGCCTGTGGCAGTTTTATTGGCCAGTTTGGCAGTGGCTGTTTTTTTTATTTTGTTGGTAAGTCGCCATAGCTTTTGCATTGCATATCGATCATGAGTGTCAATGTCCACAAGTATTTTATTAATGTTCTTGTTTTTCAGCTGTGCAGCCCTGTATTGCTGTCTTGCCTCTGGAGTTCGTGTCGCCATTAAGATCTGTTTGCATCTCTGTTTCAGTCCAGTTCAAGTTCGTGCCTATGGCGGCCCCGGTGACTATGTTGGTTTCCATGATGCCTGTGTGCTGCGGCATTTGCAGCTATTTAGATGTTGCGTACGAGGATATCCACTGCAACGTCGATGTCCGTGCCACTGCGGATCTCGGTGTTTAGGTGGATTTGCTGGTCAAGAACATCCTGAAATCGATGCGTATTGGCCCCAGAAGGTAGCAGTCTGCGATTATCAGTTTGAGTTGTAAAATTTTGGTTTCTGTTAGTAATCAGATCAACTCTTTAAAGCAGGTGGTCTTCGTCCAAGTCTGTTGAGGAGTGGATTCGAAGCCGATTGCTATCTAAGCCACCGTGGACTGCAAAGTCAATTGCAGAAGGAATTTTCCTTCTATCGTACGGGTAATGCGTCGCTCCACCGGTGGCCAAGACATTATAACGACAATGACAGGCGGATTGCCCCACCATGAGTGCTGGGCGTTCCAATCGCCGCAGAATATAAAGTTAGATGGAGCCGGGTCGGTGAAGTTGTCAAAATGTTTGAATAGTTTTGTGATGTGTTCGACGGACCATTTGAACACTGGTGGGCAATAGATTGGGGCAATTATAATTATTTCCCTTTTATTCTCATTTTCAAGCAACAGGGCAATAGGCATTCTCTGGAGAAAGTTCGCGTTAATTGGCTGGAGGGCAGCGTGCCTGATATCGTTACGCACAAAGATAGCGACCCCCCCTCTACAATGCGTGCGTGCATGGGTTACACTGTACGTGTGGTAGCCTGCTACGCTTTGTATGTTAGTGCCGGACGTGACCCGAGTTTCGATGACCATCATGATTTGTATGGACTCGCGTCGAATGTACAGCTCGAGTTCCGTCATTTTGTTGCCTATGCCACATGCGTTCCAGAAAGCAATTTTAAATGGGTTGCTATTTTGGCTGCAATTGTGGATGGTCAGATGTGAATTTACTGTACTGATTGGCGCCGGACTGCGGACATTTTCAGCGGAAGTATTAGTGGCTAAAGTCGATTGAGCGGCGGTACTACCGTGTGGATGACTATACATAATTGATGGATTCATTGGCGATGGCAGCTTCCATAGAGCAGTCCATTTGGACTGTTTTGCTGTCTGATTGTTGTTGAGCTGTGTTTTACAACACATGATTATTGGTATTTGTGTTATTGTTTTTATAATGAGTGGCAATTGCAAAAGGACATTTAATAAAGTATATATTCCTCGTTTCATGCGAGTGAACATTGCCATGTTTTGTTCCAAGTTCTGGATTATATTGCTTTTGGACATTGGTGATTGTTGCCCTACCAGCTGCTGTTATTCGTCCCATTTATGCCGTTGGGGAGTTACCAGTTGACTTCCGAAAGGATTACGCAAGGAGGCAGCGTCGACACGGCTGTGCGTCAACTAGGCACCACTGGCTGGAGTAGCTCTCTTCTATTTGTTGATGTTGCTTGCTTCCTGAAATTGTACAGATGATGTTGTTGTTGTTGCTTCTGCCGTCTGTGTAGTGGCTGCTGGAGAGCTCTCAAATGCTTTTAGGCTGGGTTTCGTTCACGGACAGTGGCATTGCCGCCATCTCGTACAACCCGGCTATAGGACATATTGCTGGATCTTCTGGCTGGTTTTGGTGTACTGACATTATTTGTTGCTGATTGCTGCTGTTCCCCCGTGGAAAGATTTGGATGTTGTTTTTGATGCTGTTGCAAACGTAGTTGCCGCTGGAAGGAAGCCAAATGACTTTAGGCCGGGTTACGTACGTTGCGCACTTAGGCTCCACCTTTCTGGGTTTGGTACATGCAGTTGACATGTGCTCGCCTGTGTATTTCATGCAGACGAAGGGCCGCCTGCAATATTTTTTCGTGTGACCAAAGACCAAAGGCACCGATGGCACTGCACTGGATCTCGAGGTTTTGCTTGCCGCTCGACCGTGATGGATTGGCTGCCCAGCTCATTCAGGTTGAGGATGCCTTCATGGCTCCCATCCGCTTTGGTCTGCAGTTCGGTTTCAAACAAATTTAGCGGCCTGCCTGTGAACCGGGGTTTTATGACTCGGATGAAACGAGTGACAAAGCCCATTTGTTCTAGATTGGCCTCTAACCATTCACAGGTTGTAGAGTGGTGGATATGCCGTAAGATTATGCGATATTCCTTTTCGCTGCGCAGTTGGTGCGTATGCAGATGAGTGCCTTCTTCAGCCAGGGCGGATAGAATTGCTTTATGCGTGGCTAGATCTTCACATTGAACACTTAGTCCAGTGCCAGAGGTTGCCTTTGTCCAGAATTTTCGCACGCCTGGATTGCTTTTCAGTTTATCCAGATAATTGCGGGCACCATTGGCAAGAAGAGCACAGGCACTTTCTTGCCTTGTGTTGCCTGTTGCTGGATTGGCTGGGGAAGTTTCTCTTTCGATTCCTGCTTCAGACTCTCGTCCTGATGTTGTTGCGATTGTTGTTGTTGTAGCGGTTGCAGCTGCTGGCATTTCTGTGGCTGCTGCCCTCTTTGTGCTGTCTGATGTCCGTGTTGCTCTGCCTCACTTTAGAGCATTTGTTGGCGGCGTGCCTCGTGGTGAAGCTTGATAGCGAAACCACTCTTAAAGATGGGCGTCGTTAACGGTAGTATTTGGAGAGCGGGATCATAGTCAGACTCGTCCATATCCACACATCTTCTCTTCAGAGGTGATCGCCACGTTGTGGCGGAGGTATTTATCGTTGCTAGTTGAGGCTTTGGTAGTTCGCTGGGCAGCAGTGGTGGCACACCTGATAGCCAGTTTTGTAGCAGTGTTGCTTTGTCATTGCTGGTAGTTTCTATTGTTGTCGTTAGCGTCTGTGTTGGTGGCGATTTTGTTAATGATGGCATCAAATTTCTTCTGGTTGTTGTAGCTGTTGCTGCTGCCACAGGGATAGAGTTGTTGGAGAAATAGCTTCCAAGGTTTAACTTGTTGTTGATGCTGTATTGGCTGTTGCTGTAATAGTTGTTGCTGAGTGCCAATTATGTTAGAATTTATGAGTGTATTGGTAAAGGAGGACTGCAAAGCAGCGTTTAGTTCTTGCTGCGTTATGTGTGTGCCGAAATTGTTGGCACTTGTCGGTAAAGCAGTTCCTTTGCCCTGTGTGTGTATTTGTTCTGCACACTATTGTAGTATGCCTGTGCCGATTTCGTTGGCACTTGGCGTTCTTCTTGTGTCTCTTACTTCTCTTTTGGCGGGAAAAGGGCCGTTGCTTTAACGTTTGATTATGTTAGTGATTTTCGCTTTTTTTATGATTTTATATGTATTGGCGCCTTTTTTTTGTGGTGTTAGTGGCGTCTAAT